ACGGAGCAATTTAAAAAAATTAAACATTTTGCTATCTCTTGGCTGAAGTTCACGCTTAACCAAACTTACTTTTTTTCGTCATTTTACTTAGGATTGAAAAATAATTTAATGTCTTCGTAAAAAGCGGCAGTATTTTGTGTTCTACAATACGACAGTGTAGTACTCTGTATATATTTAGTAATAATAGATTATAAATATATGTTACATACATAAATATCTACTGTGCTTTTTTATTTATTTTAACTGTTACATTAATTATAGGTTTTATTACATATCTTCAATATTTTAGTGCGATGTTCGTACCTACATAAAACACACATAAGCAACCATATCCCCATACAGACACACACAAATGCACACGCCACGCACACACATTTTATACCCTTAGAATCAATAGGTACGTCAATAGGAATGAAATATAAAATCTCCCACATTTTTTGGGTAATCGATTTGCACTGTTATTACCGAAGTCACGCATATTAATGCAGCCATGGTGCGTAAGATATGCGCGTCACGTGGTACTCACGCACACATGAATCAAAGACTGTCTTCACTATGAACGTTGCGGTGTGTTAGCAACACGGTATCTGGACCTATAAAACAAATTTGCTCACTACCTTGTTTTTTTATATTCCGTGATTATTATCCAACCTCATCTAACGGCTGAGCGGGTTAAGGTTATGTTAGGCTAACAAACGAACTATCTACCTATAATAGATGTACTAGGACCAAAACATACTGTATTAGTTATGATTAGGTCTCATCATAGACATACTAATTTAAATACATATACTCTTTGTTGTAATTACAACAAATATAATATGATTATATTCGACATTGAATTGTCTATATGCTGCCTATCTCTTTTTCACTCAGGGAAGTGTAAGTCTAAGTGTCATCCATAAATAAAACAGATAATAGAAATTGTTTCGTATTCTGGTCAACATTTTTAAGATGACGTCATTTAACCCCGCCTTGCGGCCAGTTCCGCCATTTATTGTCCTAGATTTGCTGTTATAAAAAGTCGTTTGATATTTCTTAATTTGATAATTTTGGTAATTTTTAAACAGTTTATAGTGAATTTTCCAATTCATTATAAAGTAGGAAGATAACTAAGTGTTGTGTAAGAGGCTGTGCCTCAAAATATAGTCAAAAATCACGCGAATTATCATTTCATAGGTGAGTGATTTAGTTTTTTGTGTAAATATAATGTAAAAACGTTTATATCTTTTGCGACAGTAAGTAGATAGATGTAATTATTTACCCTAAACCTTTAATTCATATTATTTAATTACTTCTTATCATTCTTTGCGTATCTATAAAATTTTGTTGTTCGTAAATAGTGATGTTATGACAGCCATACACGATCAAGTCTACCGTCAAGTTTGCAGCGCGCTTGAAGCGGCGTCCGGTAAACTTGACGGTGTATGGCTATGGGTGTGCATGACAAGTCTACTTGAAGCAAAAATTGAATTTCGATTCTGCCGACTTGATCAAGCTTTCAACGTCATGTAAACTTAAACGTGTGTATGAGCCGTCAAGTATGCATGACGTTAGTCGGCTTCGGTAAGCGAAGACGCGCGCACGCGGTATATAGTAGAATACACCGAAGTGTTATGCAATGTATAAATATTTTTTTTATTTTGTTAAAAAAAAAACGTTACCTACACACTAGGATTTTCTCTTGTATCGTGGAGGCAATTAACAAACATAAATTGCACGAGGACAAACCTCTACACATATACAAATACAAATATTTGTTCCGTACGGGATTCGAACCCGCGTCCCCAACATTGCAACTCATTGCTAAAAAAATTTATTGTTCAATGTGAGGAAGGTTAATATGCAACATCGAGGGAAATTAATATTATAACAACGTGAATGTCTTTGAAACTCAGATAATTTACCTAATTACCATTTTAACCTACTTTAAAAAAGGAGGAGGTACTCATTTCGACTGTTTCTTTTATGTGTGTAACCTCAGAACTTTTTTCTAGGTGAATCGATTCTGAAGATTCTATTTTATTTGAAAGCTGGTGCTTATAATTTAAACATCACATATAAATTTGATCAAGATCTGACTAGTACTTTTGGAATTATCCGTAATAATGCGTATTCGTATTGAAGTCAGTTGTACAAAAATTTTAATTTCATTAGTTGTCTCTCTTCCTCTCTTTTAAAAAAACGTTACTTCTACACTAGGATTTTCTTCTGTATCGCAGGGACAGTTTCATACATAGAACAGACCCAGAACAATTATTTGTAGGTCATACAAATACTTGTTACGTCCGGAATTCGAACCCGCGGCTCTTAGCGCTGCAACTCATTACTAAGCCACTGCGCCACGGAGCCATCAATTGTCTGTTTCACATTTTTGCTCTTTACTATTGAGATAATATTTTTCGTTGCATTAACCAGTTTTTGCAAAGTAATTGCGAGCAATAAGCCCACGATAGTTAACGCATCATCGTCCGGAACTAGTGACGCCATGGTTTCAACTGATGCGGCATCATGCAAACTTGACGGCGAACTTGAACGTGTGTGGCCTATATGGATGCACTGCAAACTTGACGCCGCTTCAAGCGCGCTGCAAACTTGACGGTAAATTTGATCGTGTATGACATCCATTACATTACTAACAATACATTCCTTCAAGGACATACTTTATTAAGGTTTTCTTGATTTATTCTGTCGTATTAGGCCCGCCACACACATACGGAATTCCGTTTCGAGATTCCGTTTCGGAATTCCGAACGGGTCGGCCACACACATACGGAATCTTGTTTTGCCCGCAAAATTTCGAACGGAAAACTACCGTACGTGTGTGACGGGTCATAGATTTTATATGGACTTGCTGCGTTCGCGATTCCGTATCGGAATATCGAAACGGAATCCCGAAACGGAATTCCCTATGTATGTGGCCGGCCTTATGTGCAAAAGTTTTGCGTTATGCATTGCATTATTTCGGTGTCATGGGCAAAGAGTATAGTAATATATAAGGAAGAAGAGAGCCCTCTTGCGAGTAAAACTGGTGCTCCTTGGAAACAGCGCCACCTGATGATTGTTACGCCAACTAAAATATTTATATGTGTGTGTGTATATACCAATTCACTCACACGAGAGCACTCTGTGAATGTGTGCGTGTGTATATGTACAATGCTCTTTGCCTACCCTCACATTCAATATTCTATATATTTTAAACTTATATTACTATTTCCATTCCAATTTTCTACGAATGTAGAAATTACATTCTACATTCGTAAAAATTTGAAATGGAAATAGTAATAAATGAATATAATAGGTACATATTGGAATTTATAAAAATTTAATAACGCAAAGCTTAAGAGTAAGATTAAAGTTAACAATTAGCTATGCATTCATACATAAGTAGAATTGGAATGGCACACGGTTAATTTGTTAAGTAAATGTGCTACAGAAAAAGTTAGTCTCCGCAATCATCTTACTAAAACGATCTTGTTTAGAAATGAATAAAAGAAAATATTGTAAACACATTAATTATGAAAAATTCGATAAAGAACATACAATAGAGCTTGACAAAGGTGAAGTTATTAATATATTAAACAAACAGATGCAACATGTCCTTTACCGAAAAAAAAATCGTACAACTTGGTAAGTATACCAACCAAAATTTTCTTTGAATCTCAAGATATCGTTAAATACATATTGAAGAATAAGACAAAGCTGAATGATGATAAAATAATATTATATTCAGACCAAACACCGCATCTAGAATTATACTTAAAGGAGCTTCCTCAAGAGTTAAATAATAGAATAAAAAGGGAGAAGAAAATATTTCATTAAAATATTCGAAAAATGTGCCAATAATTGTTAAAAGCATCGCAAAAAATTCAAAACAATAGGAAATTGTAGTAAAAATACAGGAGAAGATAACAAAGTAAACACTTACCAGCTACTTGACGGCGACGAACATATTGTCTCATATAAGAAATCATTAAAAAATATACTATGCTAACATACGCAGCATTGTCACACCAGGAAAGTTTGACGAGTTACAATGCATACTAAAAATTTTCAAAAATACTGCCATCATTATTTTAACCGAAACATGGATAAAATCCGAAGCAGAAGCAAAACGTTTTGTCATCCCTAACTACAGCCACTATTATAATTTCAGAAACACAGGAAGAGGTGGTGGTGTATCAACTTTTGTTCACAATGATTTGAAGCACTGCTACGTCAGCGACACTAATTTGGATGGTAACAATTTCCTTTGGATTCATCTACAAGTAGTAAAAATAGGCGAAACACGAAGTTCGTGCAAAACTGTAACTTTTGAACTTGAATCTTAGAACCCCTACTGTTTCTAATATATATAAACAATTTAAATCAAAATGAATATCAGCGCTCAATGCTAGGTTCTTTAGGAACAATGTGTGTTAATAATATGACAAGCAGTAATACCTCATTTTCTTTACCTACACTATGACAGTACCATAACAAAGCAGATGAATTTAAAAAGTAATTCATATAATGGAAAAAATAATGTTATTGTCTATTATTACGAGCTTCGGGTTCGAGACAATTAAAAACTGCCGACTGAATTACCAAAATTGACACTTTAATTACACAACACTAATTACAATCAAAAATCACACTAATAATAAAACACAGTTCGCCGTTATTTCGCTTCGAAGTATTCTCTTGTATCGCCAATTCAATACTGCCCCGGTCGTGGTCTATACCGGCCTTATATAGGACCTCAGATAGTTTCCAGAACCTTCTACTGTAGCGACATCTAGAATGTTCGAGTACATATCGGTTCCGAAATTTCTGGAAGGATCTCGACTCTCCTAGTTCTGCTACTTGACACTAGAGGGCGCTAGTGTAACTAGTGTTGCCATGTACAAGACATTAATAGTGGCGCGCAACACTTTCTTTTACTTGACACTAGAGGGCGCTAGTGTAACTAGTGTTGCCATGTACAAGACATTAATAGTGGCGCGCAACACTGCCCCCTCCTAAGACATGCTCGTCCCGAGCATTATTGGCCCCATAATAACGCGCCAGTCTGGATTCACATGGACAATCTTAGGAGTACCTCTGGCACCTTTCTGTATCCGGTAGGTTACGTCATTGATCCTTGTCACAATCCGGTACGATCCGTCCCATTTAGCTTGAAGCTTAGGAGATTTCCCTTTGCTGCGAACTGGATTGTGTAACCACACTAGTGAACCTTCATCAAACCCCTTGTTGTTCATTTTGCGGTCATGCCGTGTTTTCATCTTCTCAGACGTGTGCTGGCCCGTCTGTCTGACGTGCTCATAAATGTCATTCATTTTGTTCCGCAAGTCATTTGCATAATCAGTTATACTGCGTGGGGCATCAGGTGGTATTCCGGTGATCAGGTCTGCAGGCAGCCGCAATTCTCTCCCAAAGTTTGCGAAAGCTGGTGTCACTGATGTACTTTCGTGAACAGCGCTTCGATATGACAACAAAAACGGTTGTATGTGCCTGTCCCAGTCTCGTTGCCGTTTTTCCACAACTTTTGCTAGATACCTCTCCAATGTCTGATTAAATCTTTCTACCATTCCATCAGATTGTGGGTGGTAAGAAGTTGTTAGTGTTTTCTGAGTACCCATAACTCGGCAAGTTTCCTGGAATATTTGAGACTCAAAATTCCTTCCTTGATCGCTGTGAATCTCTAAAGGTACTCCAAAACGACAGAAGACTTCATGAACTAGTTTATCTGCAACTGTTGAAGCTTCTTGATTTGGAATGGCGAAGACTTCTGGCCACTTAGTGAAGTAATCCATCACAACTATGAAATACTTGTTACCACTTTCAGTTTCGGGAAACGGCCCCGCAACGTCAATGGCTATCCACTCCCATGGTGCACCAACATTGTACAATTTCAATGCGCCTCTACTACGAATTTGAGGTCCCTTTACAGCCGCACAACTTGTACATTTGCGGCACCAGTCCTCGACATCGTCACGACAGTGGACCCAGTAAAACCGTTCTCGGATCTTCAGGAGAGTTCGTTTAACTCCCAGGTGGCCTCCTGAAGAACTACTATGGTACAGTTGTAGAACATCAGGTACTTTAGCCTTAGGGACAACCATTTGCAAATTACATCTGTCTCCCCGACCATTTTCCCATTTACGGCACAGGACTCCATCATGAATCAGCAAGCTATCCCATTGGGCTCAATAGCTTTTCGTGGTCGAACTCATTGCTGAGACGTCGCTCCACTTGGGCTTAGGAGAACAGGCCTTCATCCATTCCAGAATCGGCTTAATGTCCGAATCTTCCTGCTGTGCATGGTGTAGGCTGTCCTTCCACTCATTGCTGAGCTGGTCTGTCCTGAGTATCCTCACAGATACCACTTCCTTACCCTCTTGCCTAGTACAACGCTTGCAATCTTCAGGACAGAGTCTTCTTGACAATACATCTGCGTTGCCATGAGATTTCCCGCTGCGCTGGGCGGTGCTGTTAGCCGCACTACCTTCTCGAAATCGATCACCTTCCCTTTTTACAGTTCGCTTAGGGCAGCTGGATCGAAGATGGCCCCTTTGCCCACAGTCGTAGCACCTAGGGCGGTAGCCGTTATTGCGGTCCCGAACTGTAACTGCTGCAACCTCCCTGACGCGGTAGGAACGATGATCCTGTCTCACGGCTTCCACCTCCAGTGCATGGGTCAAGGCATCCTTAAGCGTCTCGTGGTGTCCGAGCCTTACAGCAGCTCTGACTTCAAGGTCGCGGACGCCGTCGATGAATGTCTGCACCAGGTTCCCTACAATGAGCGCAGGTACAGACTGGTACGCTTTTCGAACCAGCTTCTCCACCTCAAGGGCCCACTGCTGCAGGTTTTCGTTACTGCGTTGCACGCGATCTTTGAGCTGCGCACGAAAGACGTGTTCCAGGTGAGCATCGCCATATCTCGCCTCCAATGCCTCAAGGAGCTGCTCGTAAGTCACTTCCTTACCGAGAGCTTCCAGAACAGTTAAGGCCTGGTCGCGTAGGCCTAGGGTGAGAGCAGTCATGGCCTGACTTTTATTCCAGCCGTTCGCTTTCATGACAGCCTCGAATTGGATTTTGTAGGCCGACCAGGAAGAAATCCCGTCGAACGGCGGTACTTTGAATCCACGTAGCGACGGTGTAGTAGCTACCACGGGAGCTAGAACTCCATCCCCAATTTTGAGGTCATCCAGCGATTTCTGCATGTCTACCATCACGTTGTCAACCCGATTGTTCACTTGGTCGATTTGGGTTTCAGTTTCCGACAGGCGGTTGTCATGTTGAGTAACCCTATCCTTCTCCTCCTTTATCTCTTTCCCGAAGGTAGCGTGAAGGTCCTTCCTGAGGAGCATCTGCTCTTCCATACCGCGCTGCAGCTGCTCTTCCAACCGACGGGTCTGTTCCTCCTGTCGGCGGGCCTGTTCCTCCTGTCGGCGGGCCTGTTCCTCCTGTCGGCGAGCCTGATCCTGCAGCATCATCATCAGAGCACCTAAGTCAGGTGCTGCAGATGCAGGAGCTGCTGACGGGCCCGCCTCCGTGGTTAGCAGCTGGCCCTCCGATGTTTGCGGCGTTGCATTACCAAATCGTCTCTGGTCCGTCTCCTGTTGGCGTTGACTTCGGGTACGGATACCCTCTGTGTCGTCTTTAGGTAAAATCGGCATATTTGATCCCACTTCTGACACCAATTGTTACGAGCTTCGGGTTCGAGACAATTAAAAACTGCCGACTGAATTACCAAAATTGACACTTTAATTACACAACACTAATTACAATCAAAAATCACACTAATAATAAAACACAGTTCGCCGTTATTTCGCTTCGAAGTATTCTCTTGTATCGCCAATTCAATACTGCCCCGGTCGTGGTCTATACCGGCCTTATATAGGACCTCAGATAGTTTCCAGAACCTTCTACTGTAGCGACATCTAGAATGTTCGAGTACATATCGGTTCCGAAATTTCTGGAAGGATCTCGACTCTCCTAGTTCTGCTACTTGACACTAGAGGGCGCTAGTGTAACTAGTGTTGCCATGTACAAGACATTAATAGTGGCGCGCAACACTTTCTTTTACTTGACACTAGAGGGCGCTAGTGTAACTAGTGTTGCCATGTACAAGACATTAATAGTGGCGCGCAACAGTATAATAATGACATCTTGGGAATATCATTAAATAACTGTATAAACGGGCAACAGTTAAGTAATTACTGCATGTCTGCAGCATAATTCAGTGATATTATGAATAAAATTTCAACTGGTAAATTTAGCCCTTATAGTATATTAATAATTTTTGTTGGGAGAAGACTCAATGTGGACAAGAATCAATTATTAAAATATATTTAATATCTCAATAACATAAATGTGCATAAAGTTATGTTGTTTACATTAGCTTACATAAAAAATTTAAATTTATAGATATATAATTTGACATGTAATAATAATTTATATTTGACATTTAATAGTAAGAATAATAATAATAACATTAGATTGATATTAATAATTTAAAATGTAATAATAATTTAAATTTGACATTTAATTTTAAGTATCAAAGTATAATATAAGACTGATAGCAAATGTGCTATTTAGGTAATATCTAGCAGTCATAGTAACAGTTTAAATTATCCAGAATGTAGCCCACAAATATTTAATTGTATAATTTCTCATAAAAATTGTATAAGTACACCTAGTGCATCAAAATATGCAAGGCATGGTGGGCAAAGTATTAGAGATTGAATTGTTTTTAAACAGTAACAACATACATATTTTTTTGTATATCTGAATTCTGAACATTGGTTAAAATATTATAACTATAATATGTTTAATTTCAGTGAACACCAGGTGGTCAGTTGCTTTAACAGATAATAAAATTTACACAGTGGCTCCTAAATTTAGCTAATAAATTATTAATAAGTAAATAACGTAAGGATATTGTGAGCCTCTCTGTTGAACGAACTGTAGAAATGGCATGTGTTGAGTTCCAGCGCTTCATTGTTGTCAGTGTTTACAGACCCCCATTTATTTATCAAAACAATAATTCTTTGAATGATTGTTTTGATAAAATTATGGAGGAAGTTTTGCTTAAATTTAATAATCAGAATAAATCTCCAAAGAGTAACTAACTCCTTCATGGGGCAATGTATACGCTTTTACAAAACAAGTCCCAGAAAATATCCAGACCTTTTCTATCAAAAAGATAAAATTATTTATTAAGCTAAAATTGTCTAGTAAGGGTTATGAGTGGTAGTCTTTAATACTACTAAAGACTACATGACTGATAATAACCCCTGGGAATGAGGTGATCGCTACCATGCTGTTTCTAAATGTTTTCATAACAATTGTATAAATTATTATATTGTAAATTATGCTGTTTAAAAAAGTCCCGCTGGGTTTCTTGCTGGTTCTTCCCAGGACAGAGGTTTTTTTGCGAACCCGTGGTAAGAGTAAAAAATTATTTTCAATAAGTATAACGTACTGTAATCTATATTGAATAAAACTTATTCTATTCTATTGTATTTTATTCTATTCTATTCAATAAGATAGGCTTAAATGGGGTGTAACCTCGTACGCTGATGACACGTGTCTTTTTCATTATGGTCACTCAATTCAATCTATTGTATCAGAGGCACAAAATTATTTGGATTCACTAAATGAATGGTTACAGAGCAATCTTCTAACGATCAACACAACCAAAACTAGCTATATGATTTTCGCAGCTAAAACACAAAGATTGGTGATTGTAGTCCTTTGATGATTGACGGCATAAAAATTAATAAGACTGATCAAGAAAAGTATCTAGGTACCCGCACGTTCTAAAAATAAAATCTAAGTTGATATCTCTAATGGGTATGATAAAGGGTATTCTGCTCGCTGTCTTCCAGTTCCTGTAAGGTATACGATTTATAATTCCATTGTGAAACCACAAATCGATTATCTAGTAGAAATATGGGGCAAGGCAGCCAAAACTAATCTAGAATATACTACAAACTGCTCAAAATAAATTATTGAAAGTTTTGTTTTATTTTGATTATCTTATACCGACATAAGCTTTACAAACAAATTAAAGTAATGAACATATCGCAAACATACAAGTACCGAAATTGTATATTAGTACGAATTTTTTTTTAATAAAGATATACACACAAACAAATTTTTCAAAGAGAATAGCACTACACAAAATGAAACTTAGGCGAAGCAACGTTATTGAATTATTAACACCACGAACAAATATCGGTAAAAAATGCATAATGTATATAGGTTCACAAATATATAACAAATTACCTAAAAATATTAGAGACTCAAAATCAATGCACACATTTAAAAGCCTACTTAAGTATCATCTGTCGAAAGAGTTAAGTTAAGGAAGCAAAGACGAGACGTGAAGATCTAAATAAATAAATAAATAAATAAATACTCTCATATCTAGTTATTGTAGCATAAATAAATACATATCTAGATTAATTCCATCTTACACACTAAAACTGCCAACTATTTAAGTTATAGCCATAATTTTACAACCAAATGTTGATCACGAATTGTGCAGATTAAGCTTTTAATATGTAATGGCACAAGCCAGAATAGTAAAAAAAAATGGTGGGGGGGGGGGTGCTACTAACTCAAAAACTTTTGACGGCTCCGTGGCGCAGTAGCTTAGCAATCAGTTGTTGCGCTGGGGGCCGCGGGTTTGAATCCTGCACGGAACAAGTATTTGTATGGCCTACAAATAATTGTTCCGGGTCTGGATGTTTGTCCTTGTGCAGTTTATGTTTGTAAACTGCCTCCACGACACAGGAGAAAATCCTAGTGTGGGGGTAACGTTTTTATGTTAAAACTAAAAAAAAAGAGAACTCCATCCTGTTTAACCATCCTGGCTTTAGATAGTAACTTATTAGCCCAGAAGTAAAGCTTATTCTGTATAATATGAAGTCATAGCAACTAGCTTGCTAACTTACAAGCACGAGTTGCTATCCGTGCATTAAGTATCAAAATCGTGTTCAAAATATTATTTAAACGATAAAACTGGAGCAGCAATCATCTGGCGGTTAAATTTACGTGAAATTCCCCTAGCCTCCCTAATCGTTAGAGAAAACATAATTTTGCATATTAAAAATACATAAAGGTGTTACTAAATTTTAAAAGTTGATTGACTTCACATCACTAAAAAAATGGGCGGAGCTTACAGCGTCCGCCATTTATTGTCCTAATTTGACACGATTTTTTTGTAGGCTTGCCATCTCCTCTATTTTCTATGCTCAAAGGTATAACCAATAAAACATATAGACGCTCTGGGCAGCTTCTCTATTTTCTATGCTCAAAGGTTGTAATATAGGTGTTGCCCGGCACCATAGATAAATAAATACGGCACGGTATGGTGCGGTGAGTGACATGAGCTACCAAAGCAACGCTGAAGCTAAACTGTAATGATCAAACAGTTTTGTAATAACTTTAGAAAATTACTGTAGTACTGTTAGATGCTAAGTATGATATTATGATGAGTGCCTTCGTTTATTATTTCTTAGCGTTGTTGTTCTATAGGGCTACAAATTGTAAAGCTGGTAAGATGAACATCATAATACCGTATTTCTAATTTGAAATTTAAGTATTCGTTGAATTGTTCATTGCACTTTAATTTTCAGATTCTGCAAGATATTACTACGATTATGAATGCAATGAGCCTCTTCTGGCTAACGCAAGACTAAGTGCTACTTCTAGTTTAAGGGAAAGAGGACCTGAGAATGCAAAATTATATGGTAAGCTTCGTTGTGGTAATTGTACGTTAAAAGTTATTTATGTATTTAATGTAATAGTACTTATTTTAAAATAGTGCTTTTGTAGGTTTGTCTTTACACATTTTAAGCAATAGCTTGTGCAAGTAGTAATGAGATTTCATTCAATAATTATTTTTAGAATATATGAATAGTAAAAATTCTAATTATTTGCATTCAAACCAAGCAGAGTTAGTAGTTATTGATTTATCATGATGCTGAATTTCTTGTAACTAAACAAGTTCTTACATATTAATCTGAATTGAATATTGCATTGATTATAAAGTTGTATGTACAGGAGAGTATTGGTTATACAGTTATTTTTCAGAGTTACCAAATTTTATATTTAAGTTCTAATATATAAATAATGATATACCATTGTTGCATTTATTGAAAATATGAGTAAATAAGGCTTCTTCTTTTATTTGAAATTATCCCAAATGGAATGTGATTTATGGGCAATAACATTTTTGCCTACCGCTCAACCCTTACGAATGTGTGTGAGCGCAGTAAAATCAATTAAAACAATGCATTACCATGCATTTTGAATTTAAAAGATAAAAAGACCAGAATGTTTGAGATTTTTTAAATTAATTTTTCTTCACCATTTGCCTATGTTACTTATTCTGAACCTTCTCTGTAAATTCGGCCAGTTATTGCAAAAAAGTATCAAAAGATAACCCTGTATATGCATTGAATTAAGCTTCACATTAAGCTTTTCTATGAAATAAATCAAAGACTAACATTTTAGAGATTCATTTTAGAAAATGTTTGGATTACAAAATTAAAACATTTTCATTTCTAAATTAAACTGTATTTGTAGGACAGTTTAACATATAAAATATGCGGTATGACTTTCCATTGACTCCCGTCGATTTGGGGGTTGATACATATTTTTACAGAAAAGTTACACTTTTATAAGCACACACACAAAGTTAAAACATGCGGAAGCGCGTAATTTTTGAGAAAAAAGTTATTGAAAATCAATTTTCTTGCATTGTTTATGTCTAATCCTACAATAAAACTGACGCCATTTTTTATTGTTATTGTCAGTAGGGATGTCAATTCTTTCCGAAAAAGATTTAAATAGATTCGAATTGTAAGCTGATGTATCAATTCCCAAAAAATTGATTTCTAAAATATCTATATTTTTTACATGTTTGCATTTATAATGTAAATATAAATCCATTTTATGAGAAAAAAATCCCCTTCATCATGAAATATAGGGGGACTGATTCAGAAGGATTTCTGTATCTATTTTGAGACTGCTACATCTCCGGCGCTGCGGGAAGAGCAGCCTCTACGCCTTAGCGTAACAAATCGTAGGCATCCCTCGAGCAGGCGGAGGCTGCTCCCCCTACGCGCCTCCGGCTCTTTAAAACCACTCTAGGGGTAGGACAGACTCGTACCAGGTGGAGTCGGGGTCAATCAATTCGGTTCTTTGACATAAGTTGAACCTAACCTATTTTATTTGTTATCTGCCCTAATTGGTACTGTTAAAATAAAACAAATTTCAATAAGAGATCATTTATTATGGTACCTTTCTTGTTTTTCATAAAATGGAATTATATTTACATTATAAATGCATAGATAAAAAATATAGATATTTTAGAAATCGATTTTTTGTGAATCGATACATCAGCTTACGATTTGAATCGATTTAATAATCGACCTTTTTCTGAAAGAATAAACATCCCTTCTGACGACAGTGACATTACAAAATGGCGTCAGTTTTATCGTAGGATTAGACATAAACAATGCAAGAATAATTGATTTTCAATAACTTTTTTCTCAAAAATTACGCATTTCCACATGTTGTAACTTTGTGTGTGTGCTTACAATAGTGTAACTTTTCTGTAAAAATATGTATCAACCCCGAACTCGACGGGAGTCAATGGAAAGCTAAGACAAATATGCTTTTAATCTACCCTTTAAGCATGCCTGTGTTTTTGTGTGATTTTTTATAAATAATTATACATGTTTGCTAAACATAAGTAGTAACAAATAAAATACAAAAATTAAAGCAAAATAAAGACTCTCAAAGAGGATTCCTTCATCTGCAGGTCCATATATGCAATAAAGGTATCTATAATTGGACCACTTCCATATTATTGTGGATACAAAGCAGCCAATTAAACTTCAAGTCAAATTTTGCAATTAACACAGAAAACATGAATATCAGATGGGCATTTAATGTAAGTGCTTGGAAGCCTACTGAACAAGAAATATTAGTTGCATCCAGTTATATACAGCCCGAGGAGAAGCAAAGGATATCAAAGTTCATTTTCCAAGATGATGCAAAGTCTTCACTTGTTGGACGGCTATTGATGAGAAAGTTTGTTCATATCACAACTTCTATTCCTTATGTAAAAATCAGATTGGGTAGGGATAGTCATGGTAAACCATATTTGCTTGGTGCTGAAGAGTTGCCTGTAAATTTCAATATTTCTCATCAAGGTGATTATGCTGTATTAGCTGGTAACATTAAGAAGAATATTGGTATTGATGTAATGAAGATAGAACCACCAGTCAATAAAAATATTCCAGACTTTTTTCGCATTATGAAAAGACAGTTTTCTCAACATGAATGGTCTACAATACTCAGTTTTCCAACTGATTTGCAACAAATTGCTTGTTTTTATCGTATGTGGTGCCTTAAAGAGAGCTATGTGAAAAATATTGGCTTGGGAATAACTGTTCCTCTTGATTCTATTAGTTTTTCGGTAAAAACACCTCTAAAGATTGGTGCTATAGTAACAGATACAAAATTATATGAAAAAAATGTTCTAAAACAGGATTGGGTTTTTGAAGAAACTTTGCTAGATGCCAAACATGCAGTGGCAGTTTCCTTACAAGTTGACAAGTATGCAGAGTACAGTCCTGTGCCTTATACTTTTTTAACATTTCAAGATTTAGTCAATGAAGCAGAGAAGTTGTGTGAGGGTGATTCCTTATTTACTCAGGAATTTCTGGTGAAAAAACAAAAAGAATTTAAAATTACAGATTACTGATTAAAATACACTTGGAGAATTGTAAAAGTTGAATAACACTACTTTGTTTTGTTTGTTTTAAAGTTTTTTTTTGGTGTATTAAATGGTTATGAGGGCCTTTCTGATTCTTTTGTTTTTTTAGGTAGCATTTGTTTTTTTTTCTTAAAACAACATAGGCATGCTTAAAATTTTTGTATTTTTGTTCAATATATGAGAAATTGTCAATATTGTTTTTTATTTTAAGTACTTCAAAGTATCAAAAGATAAGTCAGTATATGAAATATTGTTTCACATGACAAGGTCTGAATGCGTGGACAGCTTCCGAAAATGATTTCGACCAGCAACTCATCATTGACTTAGGGGTTGTAAAGAATATTACGAGAATAGCAACACAGGGTCGTGCACATTCACAAGAGTTTGTCCAGGAGTACCATATAAGCTATGGCTCCAATGGACTTGATTATGCACGGTATAAGGCTGCTGGAGGCGAGGTTAAGGTAAATCGCCCACAGAACAACTAAAGGACATGGTTTCTAACAAAAATAACATTAAATGAAACAGTAAATTTTTAGTAGATTAGCACTGACACCAGATTTTTTGGTTTGCATGGAGTGGTATTTTGCTTTAGTAGTTACATATATATTTGGGTTTGGTTGTGGTCTTATATTTAGTAATATGTTAATAAAATCATTAAAGTATAACAAAAAGATAACACATTTTAAGTTAACCATTTAGAATTTTATATCAATGCTGCTAATCTAACATTAATTATATTTTCTAATACTTTGCAGTATGTATATATGTTTTATGATTTGTATTATGATATTTAAAAATTAATACAAAAAAAGTTTCATGTCATAATTTTTTCCACAAATCTTCATTGAGAATTTTTCACACAGTTCACTATTTTCCATAGTTGGCAATGTGATTCCTTTGTTGGAAAAAAAATTGCCACACTTATCTTCAGTAACAATGCTTGGAGTATAGTACTTAACTAACCTTAGTATTAAAATGGTGAAGGCTCGGCAGCATGGACGGCGAAGGAAAGCTCTTACTATCAGCACCTAACAATTAACCTGCTAGCGCGCAAAGAGTTGCGTAGTATCGCCACGAGAGGGCGGTATGCTACCGACGAGTATGTGTCAGAATACATGCTCCAATATTCTGATGATGGGGAAAGTTGGAGGACAATATCCTCCTCAGACGGTTACACCCAGGTAAATAAATTTTTGCCAATTGTTTTGATTACATTATTGTTATTGCTGCACATTAAAGTGTGTTTCTGTTTTGGTTCGAAGGACCAAATTGTTAAAGCTTCAATGTAGTAATGAAAAAAAAAAACATTTCGCATGAGAGATGGTAAGAAACTGTATAATGTCTTTACACTCAGGTATCGTAACTTACAGTTATAGCCTATAAAATGTCTACTGGTGAACATAGGTCTTCTTTGCCCCAAGAAACAGACGCGACGATAGTAGAGTTTACATCCTAAGGGAAAAACAGCACTAATACGCAACAGTGTCCGCTGTATGGGGCCGGCTGTTTACAACAAATTACCTAAGTGTTGGTGGGATCTCAACACATTATTTAAGACAAGGCTACGAAACTTTTTAGCGGACAAGGTGTACTATAATATTAATGAATTTTGAATGGACAAAATGTTGTGTTAAAATTTGTATATTTGTCACATGAATATTTATTTATAAATTGTATTATTATTAATGTAATTAATTTGACGATGGCTTATAATAATTAATCCGATTGACTAGACTTACATATAATTTGAAGACTTTTTTATTTTTATTAATTAAATGTTACCTATATTGTGTTGTGAATGACATATCTACGTAAATTGATAAAAAATATATATTTTTGCATGCCTTCTGGTAAAATATGGTGGAATCTATATTATATACTTGTCACCACAGTCTGTATCACCCATATTTGCAAAATAATGAAATTCATTCATTAATTCTCCATAGATTAGCTTATAAGGGAGATAATGATTTTATATTTACGCGAATACTACACATTGAATGAAACTATTTTTACGGATTTTATCGCGTTTAATTATTCTTATTTTTAATTCCCGAGGTTTCGGGTGCTTTAGTTTTATTATAAGGTAGATATTTGCCTTAGTTGTCAAGTTTGGCAGGCGGGTTACCAATCGCAGTTTTTTATTTTTTAGTTGTAATTAGGAAGATGTTGCTGTTCAGCCTGGTTTCCCTCTGTCGCTACTTACGACATGCACGGAATGAAATGGGGTAGTAGATATTTTTAAATCGTCACTATACGATTAAGACCCGGTATAGGAAGAAATGTCAGGAAGAATTTGTGGCCTCTGTCGCAGATTGTGTACTAAGTAACCATCTCCTTTATGTAGGTTGGAAAATATACAGACACAGACGACGCCGTACTAAATACCTAGCGTGACGATCATAGATAATTCAGACTAATAGGCGATAGGATGATCTTACAGGGATTTGAAAATATGGTGTAAATGTTATTAATCTAGCAGTAGAAATGATCTCATCTATAATAGATTTAGTGGGATGAACATCATAGACCCGTTTCGCAAGCCATCTCGATGCGCCTGCGAACGATACCTTACCTGCTGCTAACAATCGTTTTAGGATTCATTATATCTTTTAAAATAATAACATCTTTTTCGGATCGAACTTTTGTACCGGTTTGGATTATGGCTTTTTCGCCACCTGGCAAGCCAACTCAAATACATATTTGATTGATTGGGCCAGGCTCGTGTCGGCCAGTTTACGTTTAAGCGCGTATTTTGCGTTTGGGCAGGAATTAAATATTATTCGAGCCACCCGAGCTCTTCGAGGAATCTAAGTAATTCTTTACATTAACAATAATCTCGAGGTGTGACCTCGGTGGTCCGAGGTATTTACAATTATGATATATTAGGTCCTTGTATATGAAATTGGAGTTTTGTACGGAAGGAATATAAAGTTATTTTTTTTTTGTAAAATATATTTAATTAATCAAAGTATGCACCGTTGTTATCTATGCACTTTTGCCATCTCATAGGTAGTTCATTGATCCCTTTACTAAAAAAAAAAAACCATGGGGGCGAGAATCATTAACTCCTTGAAGGCGGTTTGGACTGCCGCATCGGAATTGAAGTTTTTTCCTTGTAAGAAGTTGTTGCAAGGCTGTTGGAGCAAGGTCCGGGGAGTACGGTGGATGTCGCAGACATTCCAATTGTAGCTCATCTAACTTAGTGGTTGTTTGTTGTGCAGTGTGTGGTCTTGCGTTGTCGTGAAGCAGCAGTGACCTAGAGCGATTGACCAATCTCGGTTGTTTAGCAGCTAGTTCTTCCTTCATGGTTTGCAGTTGCTGACAATAGATATCTGCCGTAATCGTTTGACCAGATTTTAGAAAGCTGTAGTGTACGACACCGGCGCTAGTCCACCAAACACTCATAAGTAACTTTTTCTGAGTCAATTTTCGTTTAGGGCAGGATTTGACTGGGTCTCCAGGGTTCAGCCATTGCGACGAGCCCTTCCGATTATCGTACAGTATGCACTTTTCATCACAAGTAATGATTCGATTTAAAATCCCGTCAGTATTGTGTCGGTTCAGCAAAGTAACACATCAGTCAACGCGTGTTCGCAAGTTCGATTCACTCAATTCATGAGGTACCCATCGTTCAAGTTTTTTTACTTTCCCGATTTGCTTCAAGTGGATTAATACAGTTTTATCACTTACCACGAAGCCTGCAGCTATCTCTGAAGTGCTTTGTGATGGATCCGCTTTCACAATAGCATTTAATTCTTCATTTTCCACTTTGGTCTCCGGCCGTCCACAGGGTTGGTTCTGAAGGTCGAAATTTCCAGAACTAAAACGTTGAAACCAAAAACGTACCGTGCTTTCTTTTGCGACACCAGCGCCGTACACATCATTAATCCTTCGAGCTGTTTCTGCAGCACTGGTGTCACGGTAGAACTCGTACTTGTAAATATATCGATATTTCATGTTTTCCATTGTGCTGTAATAAGCGACGCCAAAGAAAAAATAATGGGGAAAAACAAATGAATGACTGTTTTCAAAACTCAAATGTACCAGCTAAATGAATTTATAAATTTGAATTTGGAATTCTTTAACCAAAGAGGAGATATTTCAGATCAATGTGGTCTGTACGACAAAACGCTAATCTCATATATAAAGACCTAATATGTATATTAGAACAACGAGGCAATGCCCGAGGTATGCCCCGTGCAAGTTCTGCAGAGAGCTGTCCGTAACACCTAAAGCAAAGAGAAACCTGTTAAATAAACCGTGTCTTGTTATGACACTGGTGACCAGTAAATTTTATTTTTATTTAATGATCGCGCAATTGTAGTACATGACTACGCGCATTAGAACAACCCGAGTTCGGAATTGTTAATTGCAATTTTAATTTCCAAGTTAGCATGTGCTCAAGCATTTGTGTGATAACTTTATTATTATATTCTTTTTAACATGCGGAATAACCACTCACGGATACTTCCATGTTGCGTCTGGAACCTGGCTGAAACTCCACAGTTTTCCTGTCTTCGTCCTTTGTCGAGGCTACATGAATTCATTGCGCACTACCGTGGTGCCTACGGCGGTAGCTCGGGTGGCTCGGTAGAAAGTGGAGATGAAATTCTCCACTCCTTCACGTCTTCCTTATATGATGACAGATCACGCTCGTGTCCACCAAATAGGCCTCAATTATGAGATACTCGTATTGGGTCTCCCTGATTGGGATTGAGATCACATAAATAATTCAAAGTACCTTGTGCACAGAACTCTTCAGAGATGCTGTCAAAGTAAAATACAAAATCAAAATACTTAAGCTCTTATAAACATAAAATTTGCACCGGTACTCAAAAAAGCAAGACCTCAAAGAAAAATCGGCAGAGTATCTTGCTAATTATAGTGTTTTATTTTTAAGGCAAGGGTGAATAGACTTTTGTTTAGCTAATTACGTTTTACTATCTTCGGCTGCCATATATAAAATCCTAGTCAAGATAATAACGTTAGTTGGATAAAATATGCAGTAACAATTTTCTATAGATATTGTATTCACCGACGGTAACCACAAAGGAATGATGTGATTGATTGTTACAAACTAAGCAAATAAAACAATTTAAACAATACTTTGCGGTCTACAGATGTTCGAAGGCAACCAAGATGGTAATACGGTGAAAAAGAACGAGTTTGAAGTGCCTATTATAGCCCAGTACATAAGGATAAACCCCATGCGATGGCGTGACAAGATATCGATGCGTGTGGAGCTCTATGGTTGCGACTATGGTGAGTTATTATTTTCTGTATATTTTTTTTTACTTCATTCAAATAAATCAATTTCTGAAGTAAGATGCAAATAATGTTTTGGATAATTTTGAAGATATTTTTTATCATAGAATATCACAAATAATCAAATCATTGTATTATATAATTTTTTATAGCTTGTAGATAGGAAATTTTGTGTTGCTGAGTCCTTATTTTACTTTTAAAGTTAAGCAATTCTGCCTTGAAAGATTTTTAAGAAGTTGCTAATCTCATCTGGGAATTAAATCAAGCAAACTGGAAATAAACAGCATGTACTTTATGATATCAATTCAGAGAGAGGGGACGGAATTACCTTCCAAGTAACATAGTATCTTGAATAAAAGGAACCCTTATACAATTTAACAATTAAATAAAAAAAACGAACATGTAACTGAGATTAAAATTCAATATCAATTAAAGATGTTATTAGATTTTTGGCAATGTATCTACAATATTTTGGATTAATTTATATTTGACAAATCAATACAAGATCAATGTTATTGTATGCAATTTCTCAGTTTTGATTAATTCACTGCCTGTAGATTGGTTTTAATTCAGTAATTTTCAGGGTTGGCTGATTTAAATCAGACTGATTTAAATCATGATTTAAATCACGATTTAAATCGCCTGATTTTGATTAAAAAAATCATTGATTTAAATCAACATGTATAAATTAATGTAATAGGCAGAAAATTAAATAAAACTGGCTTAAAATAAGGTAAAATCTTTTGTTGTTTTATGTTATTCTTATTGTTCTACTACAATAGTCTCATAAACTTTGGAAAATCAACAAAGACGTAGCGATGAGATCTGTCAATTTTAAAATCAATTTTTTATTTTTTAGAAATTCACTCTTAATATGTATATGAACTGTAATTAATACAGTATGTATTAATTATTTTACTCTTAATCAGTCTCATACATATCTATACAAATAAATAAAATTGAAGTGTCTGTTTGTAATGTCAAAATTACGGCTTTTTACTAAATGCATATGAAAGTATATACGATACGTATAACAAAAATATATTTTTAAAATTTTTGTCTGTCTGTCTGTTTGTTCCGGCTAATCTTTGAAACGGCTGGACCGATTTTGACGGGACTTTCACTGGCAGATAGCTGATGTCATAAGGAGTAACCTAGGCTACTTTAATTTTAGAAAAAGAATTAGGGTTCCGTGCAAAAAAACTAAAACCCCAAATAACACGCAGGCGAAGTCGCGAGGAACAGCTAGTGTATTCATAAACTTTTAATCCTACTATGTTAAAAAGTGTTACCAACTCGTGTATTTCCAAATATACAAAAAAAAATCAAAAAATTCAAAAAAAATCAAAAAAATCATGATTTTTTTTAAAAAATCAGCATGATTTGATTAAAATTAAAAAAATCATGATTTTTTCCATCCCTGGTAATTTTTAACTCTTTCTTACTATCATACTGTCATTCTTCTTTAATAAATATTCTACGTATCTGACAATAGAACTGGAGATGGATAGATAGATGGAATAGGACATAATGCTTTGGGAATATTTTGTGATCTTTCTAAGGCTTACAACTGTGTTCACCATGAGATATTTATTAGTTAGGTACATAACTTGGTCTCAAACACTTAGCGCTAAAACTTACTACATCATATTTATATAATAGAACATAAACAGTTGTTATTAATGGGAGTACTTCTTCCGCGTCGGTTGCATGTGATTAACACCCATAAGGATGTTCCTCAGGGCTCAGTTCTTGGCCCTTCCTGTTCTTTTTACGTCCTGTTTTATTTAAAGTATTGATGTACATTCTGTTAATATTAGTTCTGTGAACAAGCACTAGCTAGTTATACCAGTTGGCCTTCTTTTTTCAGTTCCTTTATAGAGCAATGTATAAACTTTAACAACAAAGTCCCACAAACAATTTAATCAGATTTGATAATGGATGTTGGTAAATATTATTTAATATCAACGTACATAAACTATTTATTTATTGTTAACCCAGTTGCCGACACGCTATACTTCAACGGTTCGTCATTAGTCAAAATGGATCTTCTCCGCGATCCGATTTCGGCGTCCCGTGAGACGATACGTTTCCGCTTCAAGACCAGCGCGGCGTCTGGAGCGTTGCTGTACTCACGCGGCACGCAGGGCGATTACGTGGCCTTGCAGCTGCGAGACAATCGGCTTGTGTACAACGTAGACTTGGGTGAGTTGTGGTACATTCCTCTTCCCCTTCAGGATGTCCGTTACATTATCCCTTCCTAAAGTAAGAAAAGTAAAGTGACAGCTTTATATTCAGCCGATTTATATCCATCAAAGTTGGATTTACCTAGTCGGACAATTCGCCCTAGATAAACATATTCGTCAACAACTTCGAGCATAGCGTTCCCAACAACTGCCTTTATTAATTAGTTGTTTTTATTTACCTATTGTAAATTTGTATATATTTAATAATTCTTCGTTTTCATTTATCAGGTTCAGGCACGGCAACCTCTATGTCTGTTGGTAGTTTGCTAGACGACAACATTTGGCACGACGTGGTCATATCGCGCCATCGCAGGGACATGATCTTCTCCGTGGACCGCGTCGTGGTGACTGGCAGGATCAAAGGGGAATTCTCTAGGCTCAATCTGAATAGAGCTGTAAGTTTACATTTACATTTTAATGTGTTTTAAAATTTATTTAATACCAGTGACCAGTGACCCGCCCCAGCTACGTTTGGAAAGGATCTACTTACTTAGTTTTTTTTTTAATTTATATGTATAGATATACTCTCATAGTAATGTCAATTGCTACGTTATCAATACGTTACTAAAACAGCACTTAAAATTAAATAAAATTAAATTAAAACCCTACAGAAGAGAGGTCACTGATAAAAGACGCAAAGATATAGTAATTTAAACTAACATCAAAATAAGGTTGTCATTCATGCATAGATTTTTACATTCCTTGGCCCTTTTCTGTGTAATGAAGTAAATGTCATCATCATTATCATTAGAGACCTTCACAAGTGCACTGCTGGACAAATGCCTCCCCCGAGGAATGCCACAAAGCTCAGTCCTGAGCCACCTGCATCCATCGACTTCCTGCATCTCTTACCAGGTCGTCACTCCATTTAGTGAGGGGCATGAATCATTCAGTACCATGACAAATGCCAGATTGTAAAAATGTAATTTGAACATGGTTAAAAAAAATTATCATACGATGATTCGAAAAAGTTACTGATTGTTTAAAGTTGATTTATGACAATATATTTTACCTAAATTAACCCTAATTAATTAGTTGGTATGTTATACATTTTATATAAGAAACAGAAAATATTTGTTAGTGTATATATTTAACATATACACCTGAAATACAGTTTTATCCTAGTTCAGGTACCTGTTATTCTAGACTATTTTAGATAAGGCATTGTTTTTAATTGTACAGTTTATCGAAGTAAAAATTAAATTAATTTAAATGAAATTTAATATGATCAAAATCATTTCATCTGTTATATTTTCCTAATATCTGTTATTGGGTATGAAACAGTTATTGTTTCTATCTCAATGCTCAATTACAACAACAGTTTTCTTTTGTTCTTCAAGCTGTACATCGGTGGCGTTCCAAACTTCCAAGAGGGCCTAGTTGTGAACCAGAACTTTACCGGCTGCATCGAAAATCTGTATCTGAATGCGACCAATGTCATCCAGGACCTAAAGCAGGGTTATGAGTCTGGAGAGTCATTTAAGTTCCAGAAGGTCAAAACTCTCTATGCTTGTCCAGTAAGTACTGATAGTAATAAACTACCAAGGTTTTAATAACATTTAATGTACTATCAGGTCTGTCAGATGTTGTTTTATCCTTACCGGTTGCTGGTGCAATTAGTTTCAAAATGAATTCACTCAGGACTTTTTACAGTGTTAATATACAATTTATTACTAACTCGACCACAACACCACCTATTGGGTAAAAATTTTGTGATTTACTTTTTTACCATTAAACCGATATCATTTTGGTCTAGAAAAATAGAATTTGTTACTAACATGACAATAGCGGCACCTATCGGACCTTAGCACATACATATGAACCTTTGTCTTGACAAAGCAAGACCTTCAAGAAAAGAGCTTACTCCTTTTTTAAAGGTCGGCAACGCACTTGTAACTCCCTTGGTGTTGCAGTTGTTCATGGGCGGCGGTAGTCACTTATCATCAGGTGAGCCGTCTCCTATAAAAAAAGCAAAAAAATTCTGTGATAGTTCAATTCACGAAGACGAGCGGACTTTACTTGTGGTTAAACGTGTGCATGCACATTGCCACAGTGTGCGTGTCTGACGAAGCGATCAGTTGCGAACATGCTGTCGCTAATCATACCCACTTTTGGTCTCACGCACACTTTGACACGTATACAGACGTGTACGTGTTTACCACAACTAAACTCGCTTGACTTCGTGAGTTGCAAGCACTAGAATAAGACTTCAATCGGTTCGGACAATTCAATTCGGACATAATCTCTCGACCAACATTACCGTTACAACCTATGAAAAGTCCATTTCTGAACATATGTCTCACTCAAGGATTGCCTCAGGGTGAACATTTCCCAAAGTCGCCACGCTTGGCATGCGGTTTGGCAACACCAGTATTATTTTTATTTTGTAGTTGTTATTAGGAAGAATGCTGTCTATCTACAGGTTTGTTTTCCGCTGTTACCTCTTACAAACACCCACAGGATGATATGAGGTAGTGTGTATATTCTTACACTGCCACTACACGGTGACAACATAACGCAACAATATTATAAAGAATATATTAAATTGCTATTACTCTTGGGTTAGAATCCAGAGTTTGTATGTAATATATATGTCGGTTTGTTCCGTGCAGGAGCCAGCAGTGGTGCCAATTACGTTTCTAAAAGCGGGCTCGTACGCGAAGCTGCGGGGCTATTCTGGAGGCAATACACTCAACGTCTCCTTAGAGTTCCGTACATACGAGAATCATGCCATGCTTATATACCACAAGTTTAAGTCCGAGGGATATGTCAAGGTAAGGAACTCATATTGTAACTTTGCTTATGTCTTATATCATTTAAAGAATTCAAATTCTCAGTAGCAATCTAGAGTCAGGAAGATAGTGGCGTTTCGGCTTCGTGTCTCGTAAAGCAAGTAAAATCGTCGGCCTGTTTTACACAGGGTCAGTAACAGCCGCCAGTACTGATGCCGAGGACTGACTCGCACTGTTTAAATGCAGTCAGTATTAGTGGTAACTTCTTGAGGGTGTACGCACGTTATTGAAGTCAGTGGGCAGAATGAATTCACTGAAATGGCAGAATTTATAATAATTGAAATATTTATTGAGAAAGTGTTCCTACCTGCTATTGAAAGAGTTGACGGAAATGTTAGAAGAAGAGATATTTAAAAATAAACTGTGTAAGAAAATGGATGGACGACAGGAAAGATGTTGTTACGCTAAGACAGTACGATTTACCATCTAGGGCTGCATCACCACTTACCACCAGGTGGGATTGTGGTCAAGCCATGAAGCAAATACAAAGAGGAGACGTTGTAATTAAATTTCACTATGTAACAACGCGTGACAATTTGCGGAGTGAGGGGATGCAAAGCCCCGCCCACTACACTATCTACATCTACCGATAAATAGTAAAACTACTCGAATCTTTCCATATCGATGTTGCAATGTAGCTTAGCTACCTTGACGGTAGATGGCGGCATGTCTACAAAATGTTATGAACTTTAAAAATAACACTTTGGCGATTAAAATTTCTTTATGTCTGAATGCAAAGAAATTTCAGCACCTTCGTATGATTATTTTATCATTACTGAGCTCTACGTACCTTTATATTTTTAGTTCACAGGATACAAAGTGTCGCCATCTAGTGTGGAATATATTTAATTATATTTGAAAGCCGACGCAAAGAGATTTTTCTAGAACTATTTTAATAAATCAGGTGTAAAATTAGTTACAAATGAAATGTGATGCCATCCATAGCATCGGAGTGTCTATCTCATGAAGCAAATACATTCAGATTTACATGAGATACAGAAATTTTAATCGCCAAAATAATATTTCCATAGTTTTCATAATAATCTTGGGAACATGCCGCCATCTATCGTCAAGTAAACCTCATAAAAATAACAAAAAGACAGGGCCGCAATTAGAATTCAATTATTTTACCCAGTAACCCAACATTCAATATTAAAATGAAGGAAATTGTACTTGGCTGATTTTTACGAAATGTTAAGTTATATTTAAGTGACATTCTATATGCAGAGAATCACTTAAATACAATTTAAATATGTTTATCATTTCGTGAAAGTCAACCAAGAAATATTTATTTTATCCATAAAATAAAGTCTCTTTGAAACTAAATATTATATGTTCAATATTAAGTAGGATATTTAATTTGGAACTAAATATCCTACTTATCTCACTAATATTACAAAGGCGAAATTTTGTGTGCTCTTTCTGTCTCCTTGAGCTTATTCCACACTAAGTATGTGTAATTTTTTCACGCAGAAACGGCTGGATTATTATTTATGTGTGGGTTATACTACTTAATATCTCTGAGGGAGAACAAATAATAGACAAATTATTATAATTAATATAATTTTATTTACAAATCAATTAAAATATAAATATTTTATTCCAAATTAGGCATCCAAATGCACTTATTCGGTAGTGGAATTTTAAAAGACTGTAGTTCGTCTTGAGATTGCTTAACAAGTCTTGAATATCGCTGAGAATGTATTTTTAAGACACATCTTGAGGATAAATTAGGGATTTCAGACTTGTTTCTTCACTGCTGGATGTATGAGGAAGCTAAAGTTCACTCAGCGAGCTATGGAGAGGGCTATGTTGGAGTTTCTCTGCATGATAGGCCAATCTAAGAACATTAAATTGTATTTAAGGGATTCTTTGCATATAGAATGGCACTTAAATATAACTTAAACATTTCGTAAAAATCAGCCTAAGTACAATTTCCTGCATTTAATATTAAAAGTTGGATTACTGGGAAAAATAATTGAATTCTAATTAGGGCCCTGTCTTTTTGTCATTTTTATGAGGTTTACTTGACGAGAATATGGCCTGTTCTCAAAATGATTATAAACTATAAAAATGATATTTTGCGATTAAAATTTCTTTATGTCAGAATGCAAAACAAATTTCAGCACCTTCGTATGATTATTTTACCAATACTGAGCTCTACCTTTACATTTTTAGTTCACATGACACAAAGTGTCGCCATCTAGTGTCGAATATATTTGATTATATTTGAAAGCCGATGCAAAGAGATTTTTCTAGAACTATTTTAATAAATTAGGTGTAAAAATATATACAAATGAAATGTGATGTCATCCATAACATCATAGCGTCTATCTGAGTAGTTTTTACACAATAAAACACAACACTTCATCCTTTTCTTCTTAATACTATGAAAATACACCGATTTGCGATTTTTTCAACACATAAGCGCACAGGACGAATGCTGACAGTATACTAACTAAAGCCACGCCCACTATGATGACGTCAGGACCTACTTAGAATCACAGTGCACAGTTGCTTATGCCGTCTCCCCTTTGTATTAGCTTCATGGGTCAAGCACTGACTTATAATAAGCAAAAAAAAAAGAAACTGGAGATTCTGCTTTATTGCAGACGTGACGTCACCCTATAATGCAGCGCCAGTGACTAATCAAGTACTGATCGTTTAGACAAGGTCAATACCGCTGGCGCGGGTGGCGGGGGGAATGGACTGACTTCAAAATATTCAAGCAGGAATATTGAATTCAGCACTGGCGCGGCAGCGCTGTACCACAGTATAAATATGAACAGTATGGAAACTAAGCCTAGTTGAGGACATAATTACCTACGCTCCATTGAAGCAATAGGGTTGCAACTTTTAATGTTTTAGATATTGCTTTTTTATATGTTTGTTCTGTAGTGATCAATCAATCGAATTTAAATAACTAGTTTACAAATACAATTTAAATCAGGGATGGAAAAAATCATGATTTTTTTAATTTTAATCAAATCATGCTGATTTTTTTTAAAAAATCATGATTTTTTTGATTTTTTTTGAATTTTTTGATTTTTTTGTATATTTGGAAATACACGAGTTGGTAACACTTTTTAACATAGTAGGATTAAAAGTTTATGAATACACTAGCTGTTCCTCGCGACTTCGCCTGCGTGTATTATTTGGGGTTTTAGTTTTTTTGCACGGAACCCTAATCCTTTTTCTAAAATAAAAGGAGCCTAGGTTACTCCTTCCGACATCAGCTATCTGCCAATGAAAGTCCCGTCAAAATTGGTCCAGCCGTTTCAAAGATTAGCCGGAACAAACAGACAGACAGACAGACAAAAATTTAAAAAAATGTATTTTTGTTATACCTACGTATCGTATATACTTTCATATGCATTTAGTAAAATGCCGTAATTTTGACATTACAAATAGACACTTCAATTTTATTTATTTGTATAGATATGTATGAAACTGATTAAAAGTAAAATAATACATACTGTATTAATTACAGTTCATATACATATTAAGAGTGAATTTCTAAAAAATAAAAATTTGATTTTAAAACTGACAGATCTCATCGCTACGTCTTTGTTGATTTTCCAAAGTTTATGAGACTATTGTCGTAGAATAATAAGAATAACATAAAACAATAAAAGATTTTACCTTATTTTAAGCCAGTTTTATTTCATTTTCTGCCTATTAAATTAATTTATACATGTTGATTTAAATCAATGATTTTTTTAATCAAAATCAGGCGATTTAAATCGTGATTTAAATCATGATTTAAATCAGTCTGATTTAAATCAGCCAACCCTGATTTAAATAGGTAATCTCATGGCGTCGGGTAATCTCAGCAAAAACGATAGTTCAAACACGGAAAACAATTTAATATTAACACACAACAACTTGTAGAACTATAGATCTTTAACTTTGTCTTTATGGCGTAACCTTTTACAAGTTTCGGCGAGAGCGTACGCGAGTCGCGGTTGGAAGAAAACGTACCTTTATTTTTTATTATTACAAATTATTTACAGAAAAATATTTTCGTCTGCTACGACAAGTTCGAAATTCTTTATTATTAAATTTAATTGTGTAAAAAATTATCATTCTAATGAACAGGTTTTTTTTAATAAACCGTTGAGAAACAAGGACAGGGTACTATGAAACCGATTTTGTTTATTTTTTGTAAATTAGATCAGCTACTTTGCAGTTTATGTGGTTTTTTTAAAGCAACAACGAAAAATCGGTTTCAACACCCTCAAAAACCATGAAAATGACACCCATGACGAAAAAATTAATACCTATTGCAGCCGTCATCTTGGATTTACATTTCAACAGCACTATCGGCTTCCACATACTCAAAAACTATGAAAATGACACCCATGACGAAAAAATTGATATCTATTGCAGCCGCGATCTTGAATTTACATTTCCACAGCACTATCGGCTTCAACACCCTCGAAAACCATGAAAATGACATCCATGTTTTTATTAGTGATCGATGCACCCATGAGGAAAAAATTGATACCTATTGCAGCCGCCATCTTGGATTTATATTTCGACGGCACTATCGGCTTCAACACCCTCGAAAACCATGAAAATGACACCCATGTTTTTTATTAGTGATCGATGCACCCATGACGAAAATTGATACTTATTGCAGCCGACATGTTGGATTTACATTTTGCCAGCACTCAACTTTAACGGGGCTTCAACACCCTCGAAAATCATGAAAATGGCACCCATGACGAAAAAAATGATACCTATTGCAGCCGCCATCTTGGATTTACATTTCGACAGCACTATCGGCTTCATCACCCTCGAAACCCATGAAAATGGCACCCATGACGAAAAATATGATACCTATGGCAGCCGCCATCTTGCATTTACATTTCGACAGCACTATCGGCTTCATCACCCTCGAAACCCATGAAAATGGCACCCATGACGAAAAAAATGATACCTATTGCAGCATGGACAAGTTGTGCTTGACGTATGTGTGAGGTGTGTGTATAGCGCGTGTGATGCGCAGGTGTACCTGGAGGAGGGGCGGGTGCGCGTGGACCTGTACGCGGGTGGGGGGCGGGGGGCGGCTGGACAAGTTATGCTTGACGTATGTGTGAGGCGTGTGTATAGCGCGTGTGATGCGCAGGTGTACCTGGAGGAGGGGCGGGTGCGCGTGGACCTGTACGCGGGTGGGGGACGGGGGGCGGCTGGACAAGTTGTGCTTGACGTATGTGTGAGGTGTGTGTATAGCGCGTGTGATGCGCAGGTGTACCTGGAGGAGGGGCGGGTGCGCGTGGACCTGTACGCGGGTGGGGGGCGGGGGGCGGCTGGACAAGTTGTGCTTGACGTATGTGTGAGGCGTGTGTATAGCGCGTGTGATGCGCAGGTGTACCTGGAGGAGGGGCGGGTGCGCGTGGACCTGTACGCGGGTGGGGGACGGGGGGCGGCTGGACAAGTTGTGCTTGACGTATGTGTGAGGTGTGTGTATAGCGCGTGTGATGCGCAGGTGTACCTGGAGGAGGGGCGGGTGCGCGTGGACCTGTACGCGGGTGGGGGGCGGGGGGCGGCTGGACAAGTTGTGCTTGACGTATGTGTGAGGTGTGTGTATAGCGCGTGTGATGCGCAGGTGTACCTGGAGGAGGGGCGGGTGCGCGTGGACCTGTACGCGGGTGGGGGGCGGGGGGCGGCTGGACAAGTTGTGCTTGACGTATGTGTGAGGCGTGTGTATAGCGCGTGTGATGCGCAGGTGTACCTGGAGGAGGGGCGGGTGCGCGTGGACCTGTACGCGGGTGGGGGACGGGGGGCGGCTGGACAAGTTGTGCTTGACGTATGTGTGAGGTGTGTGTATAGCGCGTGTGATGCGCAGGTGTACCTGGAGGAGGGGCGGGTGCGCGTGGACCTGTACGCGGGTGGGGGGCGGGGGGCGGCTGGACAAGTTGTGCTTGACGTATGTGTGAGGTGTGTGTATAGCGCGTGTGATGCGCAGGTGTACCTGGAGGAGGGGCGGGTGCGCGTGGACCTGTACGCGGGTGGGGGACGGGGGGCGGCTGGACAAGTTGTGCTTGACGTATGTGTGAGGTGTGTGTATAGCGCGTGTGATGCGCAGGTGTACCTGGAGGAGGGGTGGGTGCGCGTGGACCTGTACGCGGGTGGGGGGCGGGGGGCGGCTGGACAAGTTGTGCTTGACGTATGTGTGAGGTGTGTGTATAGCGCGTGTGATGCGCAGGTGTACCTGGAGGAGGGGCGGGTGCGCGTGGACCTGTACGCGGGTGGGGGGCGGGGGGCGGCTGGACAAGTTGTGCTTGACGTATGTGTGAGGTGTGTGTATAGCGCGTGTGATGCGCAGGTGTACCTGGAGGAGGGCCGGGTGCGCGTGGACCTGTACGCGGGTGGGGGGCGGGGGGCGGCTGGACAAGTTGTGCTTGACGTATGTGTGAGGTGTGTGTATAGCGCGTGTGATGCGCAGGTGTACCTGGAGGAGGGGCGGGTGCGCGTGGACCTGTACGCGGGTGGGGGGCGGGGGGCGGCTGGACAAGTTGTGCTTGACGTATGTGTGAGGTGTGTGTATAGCGCGTGTGATGCGCAGGTGTACCTGGAGGGGGGGCGGGTGCGCGTGGACCTGTACGCGGGTGGGGGGCGGGGGGCGGCTGGACAAGTTGTGCTTGACGTATGTGTGAGGCGTGTGTATAGCGCGTGTGATGCGCAGGTGTACCTGGAGGAGGGGCGGGTGCGCGTGGACCTGTACGCGGGTGGGGGGCGGGGGGCGGCTGGACAAGTTGTGCTTGACGTATGTGTGAGGCGTGTGTATAGCGCGTGTGATGCGCAGGTGTACCTGGAGGAGGGGCGGGTGCGCGTGGACCTGTACGCGGGTGGGGGGCGGGGGGCGGCTGGACAAGTTGTGCTTGACGTATGTGTGAGGCGTGTGTATAGCGCGTGTGATGCGCAGGTGTACCTGGAGGAGGAGCGGGTGCGCGTTGACCTGTACGCGGGTGGGGGGCGGGGGGCGGCTGGACAAGTTGTGCTTGACGTATGTGTGAGGCGTGTGTATAGCGCGTGTGATGCGCAGGTGTACCTGGAGGAGGGGCGGGTGCGCGTGGACCTGTACGCGGGTGGGGGGCGGGGGGCGGCTGGACAAGTTGTGCTTGACGTATGTGTGAGGCGTGTGTATAGCGCGTGTGATGCGCAGGTGTACCTGGAGGAGGGGCGGGTGCGCGTGGACCTGTACGCGGGTGGGGGGCGGGGGGCGGCTGGACAAGTTGTGCTTGACGTATGTGTGAGGCGTGTGTATAGCGCGTGTGATGCGCAGGTGTACCTGGAGGAGGGGCGGGTGCGCGTGGACCTGTACGCGGGTGGGGGGCGGGGGGCGGCTGGACAAGTTGTGCTTGACGTATGTGTGAGGCGTGTGTATAGCGCGTGTGATGCGCAGGTGTACCTGGAGGAGGGGCGGGTGCGCGTGGACCTGTACGCGGGTGGGGGGCGGGGGGCGGCTGGACAAGTTGTGCTTGACGTATGTGTGAGGCGTGTGTATAGCGCGTGTGATGCGCAGGTGTACCTGGAGGAGGGGCGGGTGCGCGTGGACCTGTACGCGGGTGGGGGGCGGGGGGCGGCTGGACAAGTTGTGCTTGACGTATGTGTGAGGCGTGTGTATAGCGCGTGTGATGCGCAGGTGTACCTGGAGGAGGGGCGGGTGCGCGTGGACCTGTACGCGGGTGGGGGGCGGGGGGCGGCTGGACAAGTTGTGCTTGACGTATGTGTGAGGCGTGTGTATAGCGCGTGTGATGCGCAGGTGTACCTGGAGGAGGGGCGGGTGCGCGTGGACCTGTACGCGGGTGGGGGGCGGGGGGCGGCTGGACAAGTTGTGCTTGACGTATGTGTGAGGTGTGTGTATAGCGCGTGTGATGCGCAGGTGTACCTGGAGGAGGGGTGGGTGCGCGTGGACCTGTACGCGGGTGGGGGGCGGGGGGCGGCTGGACAAGTTGTGCTTGACGTATGTGTGAGGCGTGTGTATAGCGCGTGTGATGCGCAGGTGTACCTGGAGGAGGGGCGGGTGCGCGTGGACCTGTACGCGGGTGGGGGGCGGGGGGCGGCTGGACAAGTTGTGCTTGACGTATGTGTGAGGCGTGTGTATAGCGCGTGTGATGCGCAGGTGTACCTGGAGGAGGGGCGGGTGCGCGTGGACCTGTACGCGGGTGGGGGGCGGGGGGCGGCTGGACAAGTTGTGCTTGACGTATGTGTGAGGCGTGTGTATAGCGCGTGTGATGCGCAGGTGTACCTGGAGGAGGGGCGGGTGCGCGTGGACCTGTACGCGGGTGGGGGGCGGGGGGCGGCTGGACAAGTTGTGCTTGACGTATGTGTGAGGCGTGTGTATAGCGCGTGTGATGCGCAGGTGTACCTGGAGGAGGGGCGGGTGCGCGTGGACCTGTACGCGGGTGGGGGGCGGGGGGCGGCTGGACAAGTTGTGCTTGACGTATGTGTGAGGCGTGTGTATAGCGCGTGTGATGCGCAGGTGTACCTGGAGGAGGGGCGGGTGCGCGTGGACCTGTACGCGGGTGGGGGGCGGGGGGCGGCTGGACAAGTTGTGCTTGACGTATGTGTGAGGCGTGTGTATAGCGCGTGTGATGCGCAGGTGTACCTGGAGGAGGGGCGGGTGCGCGTGGACCTGTACGCGGGTGGGGGGCGGGGGGCGGCTGGACAAGTTGTGCTTGACGTATGTGTGAGGCGTGTGTATAGCGCGTGTGATGCGCAGGTGTACCTGGAGGAGGGGCGGGTGCGCGTGGACCTGTACGCGGGTGGGGGGCGTGGGGCGGCTGGACAAGTTGTGCTTGACGTATGTGTGAGGCGTGTGTATAGCGCGTGTTCTGCGCAGGTGTACCTGGAGGAGGGGCGGGTGCGCGTGGACCTGTACGCGGGTGGGGGGCGGGGGGCGGCTGGACAAGTTGTGCTTGACGTATGTGTGAGGCGTGTGTATAGCGCGTGTTCTGCGCAGGTGTACCTGGAGGAGGGGCGGGTGCGCGTGGACCTGTACGCGGGTGGGGGGCGGGGGGCGGCTGGACAAGTTGTGCTTGACGTATGTGTGAGGCGTGTGTATAGCGCGTGTGATGCGCAGGTGTACCTGGAGGAGGGGCGGGTGCGCGTGGACCTGTACGCGGGTGGGGGGCGGGGGGCGGCTGGACAAGTTGTGCTTGACGTATGTGTGAGGCGTGTGTATAGCGCGTGTGATGCGCAGGTGTACCTGGAGGAGGGGCGGGTGCGCGTGGACCTGTACGCGGGTGGGGGGCGGGGGGCGGCTGGACAAGTTGTGCTTGACGTATGTGTGAGGCGTGTGTATAGCGCGTGTGATGCGCAGGTGTACCTGGAGGAGGGGCGGGTGCGCGTGGACCTGTACGCGGGTGGGGGGCGGGGGGCGGCTGGACAAGTTGTGCTTGACGTATGTGTGAGGCGTGTGTATAGCGCGTGTGATGCGCAGGTGTACCTGGAGGAGGGGCGGGTGCGCGTGGACCTGTACGCGGGCGCGGGCGGCGGCGAGGGCGCGGGTCGCGTGAGGCTGGACAACTTCCCGCGGCGCCACAACGACGGCCGCTGGCACACGCTCATGCTCACGCTGCGGCGCGACCAGCTCGTGCTGGCCCTCGACGCTACGCCCGTGCGCACGCTCAAGCGCCTCGACTTCATCACCGGACCCTACTACTATATTGCAGGTACACCACTGCTTTACATAAAGTAATATCAGCTATACGGATTCTTCAGTAATTATACTTTTTACACTTATGTATAGTTTAATACGTGGTAGAGCCATGCTGCAGCTATATTACTGGTAATAGTTGTAGCACGAATGGGTCGGCTCGACCGGAGAAAAACCATACTCTCACAGAATACCAACGTAAAACAGCAGCTTAATGCTGCTGTGTTTCGTATGATAAGTGTAGAAAACCAGAGACCATTTTTACTAGAAACGAGGCTTTCCATCTTGGTCCTTAAAGGTGACAGTGCATCTGCGTTTTGATTCGTAATCGAGGATAGATGTGGATGTCTATGGGCCACAGCGAACACTTACCATCAGGTGGACTGTGTTATCGCTTGTTACCCTTATCCTGTAAAAAATATAGTTTATATTTAATTATTTTCCCGGCTGGGTTTCATGCTGGTTCTTCCCAGGACGGAGGGTTTTTTTTCGAACCAGTGGTAAAGTAACAAATTACTTTCAATAAGAATTACACGTGTGATCTATTATATTGAATAAGAAATTATTTTATTCTATTCAATTCTATTACAAAACTACATTTCAAAGAAGTTGTAGTTAACGGCGATACTAGTATAAACTACGTATAAACAGCCATCAACATCTTACATCCTGAGTTGTACATAAATAATTTTAGCGACCTGTCATTTCATGTTTTTATACTCCATACATACAAACATCCATACAAATAGTGAATGAAGTCGCGGTGTATGAACGTGATTGATGATGTGAGGATATTATGAAAACAACTTCAATATATATTATTAAAAATAACTCAAAAACTATTGGTCAGACCTTGATCAAATTTATATGGGACCACATGAGAAACACCAGCTTTCAAATAAAAAAAAGAATCATCGAAATCGGTTCACGTAGAACAAAGTTATGAGGTATCACAAAAAAAATATTGAGTATCTCCTTTTTGAAGTCGGTAGAAAACAAAAATAATACAATTTCGCTATACAATTACAATATTATTTTGTATTATTATATTATTATTATTATTGTAGAATACAAAACAAGATTAAGATAAATATTGCAGTACTAATAAATAGAAATAAACCACAACTCGCAAATTTATACAGAGACACAATAATCTTCTACGATCTGACGGCCGTTTATACCTTGTGGCAACATTGTGACGCATAACGCGCCGCTAGTCTGTGGCATAAAAAAAGAGGGTAGAAGCCTTACATCTTTTTGTATTATCGTGATGTCAGTATTTCTACAAAAAAAAAAAAACTTAAATTGTACCACTATGCCGTGTACCGTGTACAATCCCAGAGTCTTTTGCCGTGTCTTCAAAAAGCTGCGGTTGGCAACCCTTCTGCCAAGCATGGTAACTGAAAGAGTTTTGGCGGGAAATTGACCGGCGGCGGTTTGCTGCTCCTGTATTATTGTTTAAATAATGATTTGAAGTGGACTTTGATATGTAAGTGTTGCGATTTTGTGTATTAAGTGTCTACGCATGTGAACTATTAGTGGAAACAGTGAAACAAGTGCTCTGATGGTGATGGATTCTCAAGATAAGCTGTTTGTTTGCATAGGCACCTTTAGATACCATCGCCAACTGTCAGCTGTCTGCTGGATCAAGTTGCCGCCAAAATCTCCCAAGAACTGCACAATGTGACGCATCAACATATTGTGAAGCAGTATACTATGAAGGAGTGGGGAAATTACAATAAACCGAATAAAAATACTTAAGACTTGGCCTAAAGTTCTAGATACCAGGCCATAAACTCCAAAAAAAAATGGTAACTGAAATAATGCCTATCCATGGAACAAGTCTATGCTCAGCAGCGAACTTTTGTAGGCTATAACAAAAAAACAAATTGCATATCATCGGGTGGACCGTAAATTCGGTTTGCACTTCGGTTTTACTCATATAATAAAAATATAGAGATAGGTAACTAAAAATAATAAAAAAAATATTTCAAACAATTTTTTTTATCCATACATTATAAAGGGCTGTGATGTTGAAGCCTAATTTGCTACCTTAAACCATTAGCTAATTTACATTCCGTTACATAAATCACATTCGTTATCAGCAAAATTTTTAGTTGTGTTTATTAAATTATATTTAAATAACCCTACAAATAACAAGGGCTGAAAACTAGTTGACAAAAATGATTGCGTCTAGAAACAACTTATATATAAAATGAGCTTAATTATTTTTCTATGATTTTTCGAATAAAAATGTATTTTAATTAAAACCACAGAATAAAACATACATTATTGGGAATATCAAATGACTTTAATCATTTTACACTATTCTATTGTGTTGCCATTTACTATATTCATACTATTTTCGAACACTTTGTAAGACTACCTACCAACACAAACACAAAATATTTTTTATAGGAAGTTATCATTAGTAGTAACTATACTATCGACTTACTACTCTTTTATCTACTAAAATAAAAGTGATATGATTGAAAATAAGTCTCTTACAAAGAATTTCTTGCAATAATACATTATCTCAATTTTAACAGTGGTAGAGCCACGCGGCAGCTTTTGCTGTCGCACGGATGGGTTGGCTCGAACCGGGGTGGTACCACGACCTCACAGAATACCAGCGTGAAGTAGAGGTTTACCTCTGCGTTTCGCTCGGTGAGTGCAGGTGGCAGGAAGCCCTTTTTACTGGAAATGAGGCATTTCATCTTAGTCCTCACGGGTGGCAACGCATCTGCATTTTGATTCGCAAACGAGGATAGATGTAGATGTCTATGGGCCGCAGCAACCACTTATCATCAGGTGGACTGTGTGCTCGTTTATCACCCTTATCCTATTAAAAAAAATCTCAATCATAGTACTATGGAACAATTCCATTAATGTTATGGCAACACTCGCTAAACAAAATGTCACTGTATGGCACAAAGGGCCAGAAGCCATGCCAGAAATAAATACATTTATAGTATGCAAATATTTATTAATAGAGATAAAAATAATCTAAAAATGTAGGTACATGGTGAGAATGTATTAAGCTAATATCAAACAACCACAAGATGCACGACTTTTTCTAAGTGACATAACCTAAAAACATTCAAATCTAAATATATTTTTCTGATGCCTTCGCAGGACAAAATTTGACAAAGTTACTCAGGGACTGAAGCTTAACATTTTAAGATATTTTTGATATATAGACGCTATTATTTCTTCTCAACTAATTTTATGTAGTAGTAGGTTCTTATAGATTCTCAAATATTTTGTTACTTCAGGAGGAAAGTCCCCTCCCCGTGGATTCATCGGCTGCATGCGGAAGATCGCAGTGGACGGCAACTACAGACAGCCCACCGACTGGACTCAGGAGGAGTACTGCTGCCCGAATGAAGTGGTCTTTGATGCTTGTCAAATGATTGACAGGTATTTATTACATCAATATAATTGCAGTGACACCTAAAGGTGGGGTCCCACGGCCTGCCAGGCGACAGGCCGCGCCAGGCGTTGCCCCGCCTGAATGGGCCTGTCGCGGCCCGAACTGAGCATTCCCACGGCGTGTGCCGGCCTGGTGCGGCCTGTCGACTGACATTCCAACATGTTAAGTGATACGGAGCGCATGGCTGCGTGTGCAGCTGCTGTGGTTTTATTCAGTGATGAACGTTTGATAAATCAAGCAAAAAGAAAGCAGAAGAAACGACGCTGGTGGGTGTCGTTATTCAACAAAAGCCGTTCTTGTTTTTATGTTGAGGCGACGAACTATTATACATACAAAGCGCTGGTTTATTTTCATAAAGAGTTAATAACTCGAATATGAGCTCGTTCGTCCACTCCATGATGAGCGTGTGGGCGCAGGCGCCACCGCAATTGAAATGAACGATTGCAACCGTCGCAGACGCGCCCGACAGGCCGCGACAGGCGCACCTTTCTACTTACCGACTGCCGACGGACCGGACGGGCGACAACAGGCCACCGCAGGCCTCAGCGGATGCGATGCTTCCCACGGCCTGTTGCTCTGGCCTGGCGCGGTCTCACCTGTGACAAAGCAGGCCGTGGGACCCTAGCTTTATGAGCGAAACGCAGTAACCCTAAATTAATTGTTTCCGTTTTAGTAGCAAATGGCAAATGCTTTACCGAAATACTGTATTAAACTAAAAGGTGGATAAATTTTTTCAGATATTATATGTTTTTATGTTTGTGTCTGTTCGGATATCTGTTCACATATTCGTATATTAAGTGTTCTTCTTAAGCTCAAATACTCTACTAATTAAATTTTGAATCCCACATGTGCATTAAGGAATTACATAATTTTTTTTGTATTAAAATTGAGATCTGTGTCAATAAATATACCGCAAAATAATAATCTTATCCAAAAACACTGCTCATAAATGTTATAATAATGTGATAAGATTCTAATAGCCAAATACTCAAACGATACTCAATTTTAAGATGTCGTTAAGTCTCATGGTGTCACAGTCACTTTGAAGTGACACTTCAACGATTATTATTTTGCAGTATATTTTTTTGAAACAGATCTCAATTTTAAGATAAAAAATTATGTAATTTTTTAATGCACATTGAATACAAAATTTAATTTTTGACTTTCCATTTTGTGTTGTATAATAATTCGATTGAAATAATCTCTCAATGAACTAAGGTATATCACTCCTCAAATTATTCGAAACGGACGGATTGGTCTACAATGAAAAAAACATGCGTGAGTGTCGTGGAACACTCGGGAGGAACGAAGTTCCTTTCGTTGTATATTATTGATAAACGTATTATATTATTGATTAACAAATACAGATAAATGAATTCCTAGCGTCGTTTAAACTAAAACAATATTTCTTTCATGGCAAGGTAAGAAAAAGTGCGAGGGAGATGGATATTATTCCATCTCGCTTCCTTATAGCCGCCAAGGCCGTCTACACTACGTCAGAAGGGGCTGTGACGGAAAAATCTTACACTTTTTGTCGCTTTGCCCCCATCCTCCAAATCCGTAGCGTCCGATAAAGAACTTCGTTCCAAAACAGGTGCCGTGGTTCGCTACGCCAAATGCCAAGTGCACTCCTTTTTTGTCACATCCTGCAACATTTAATTATTGTAGTTGTTATGAATTGAGAGAATTTAATAGTGAAGCTTGTGGCCTACGGTCCTGGACTGTAAAGGGATTCTGGTTGAGAGAAGAGGCGTTCGTTGAATAAATTGCACGCCTACCTTGTTACCACTTCGTAGGTCTTCTACGCTCTGGAGACAGGTTTCGTAAAGGTGCAGACGAGCTAACGCTCTTTCTTTATTTTACGAACACGATACTTCACTAATTTCATTATATTAGGTGTTTCTTTACCTACGAAATTACTGTTTTTTATGAAACAAGTTAACGCATTTTTTTATATTTTTTATTTGCACCCAACGCAGTGACAGTTTATTGATGCCTTTCTTGAATAAATCAGCTAGAGGGGAGGCAACAAATTCTTCTAAGGTATTTTGTACTGCCTCTAGGGAATTGAATTTTTTGGAACGACGGTACTCATATTCAATAATTACTCGAATTTTAACGCATCCATGATGAAAAAGATTCAAATGCGGTGAAAACATAACGCTAATCAATAAATAAATGACTAATTAAAAAAAAAAAAGAATTCCATGTTTTTAAAATAAACTTAATTTGAAATTAGAATTCTTAGCCAAACAAAAATTATTTTGATTTGAAATGGTCAGTACTGCAGAACGACAATTTCATAGGTTATAGTTAAGACCTATTATAAAAAACAAAACTTAAAATAACAAGAAATGGTGTGGTATAATAGTTTTAAAATTTTTAATATATTAAAACGTAAATGCACAGCTCCCTTACCCGGTTTCAATACGTATTTGGCAAAAATGTTTGATAGTAATAAAGTAGTGTTATTTCAGATGCAACCCGAACCCGTGCGAGCACGGCGGCACGTGCACGCAGACGGCGGACGAGTTCACGTGCAACTGCCAGGGCACAGGCTACGCCGGCGCCGTCTGCCACACCTGTAAGTGCTCTCTGCCACTACTGCCTCCACTGCTACACCATAACCTACCACTCGCACTCAATGCTTACAGAGTCTATTCAAATACTACTACACCACAAGTCCTGGACTTGTTATCCAAGAAAACGGACAGGACGCCGTTTTAATTTTTAACGTTTGGTGTTATAGCGGCAACCGAAATACACATTCTGTGAAAATTTCAGCTGTCTACGTATTACGGATCATGAGATACAGCCCGCTGACAGACAGACGAACGGACAGCGGAGGCTTAGAATAAGGTTTCGTTGGTTACCCTTTGGGTGCGGAACCCTAAAAAGCATATCCGATTAATGAAAAGTTCTAGTCGTGGTTGACAATCGTTTTTGCGTTGAATCACATAAATTGGTTTCGGCCGTGTTATATTCTCGCACTGCATTCAAAAGTTGATCACAATAGATGTCGATCTAGCAAAGGCAGGGAGGTAGATTCAAAGGTGCAAGATATAAAGGTGCAGTTGCAATTATAAAAAATAACGTAACAAAAATACCGGAGGTGTTATCCGAACCAGTGATAAATAAAAAAAAATGACTCAATAAATACTATGTAATAATCTATATTGAATAAAAATTATTCTATTCTATTGATGGATGTACGAGCAAGTACATGGTATTTCTATAGTTTAGGAAATATGCTGATATTGCCCCTGCGCGCGCGACACGTTCAGTGCAATTACATTCATAAATATTTATATATATTACATTTTATTCATAAGTATTGTTAGTGCAATAAACGCTCTACGGAATCAGACACAGTTTTAATTACCACATCCCGTAAAGTGGATACAACCTACATCGACATCCTACACATCAATATTATTATTATATGTAGAGGGTGACAATCCACAACTCTCTCCCACCCCCACCCCCCCCATACAATGCATTTGATCCCTGTGTTTCTAAAGATCTGCATGTGCTAGTGTATTGCTTGCAAGTTGATAATTGTGAAAGGAAAATCACAGTTGTTTGAGAATGCTAATGAATCTAAGTTGTACTAGGTTTACAGCACAGATGCTAGTGCTGATCTTTAAATGCCGGGCTTACCTTGTTTGGTAGAAATGGAGCATATAAAGTCCAAGTTTAGGGAGTGAAACGAACGTTACCTGGTGTTAAGTGGTTGCTGCAGCCAAGTCTAAATAAAGGGGCTTCTACTGTTCGTACGGCGCCACGATATCGTATAGATCTCGGTGAGATACGCCGAAAAGTGAGAATAAAATTTTTCGATATCTCGTTTAGTTTCCGAGATACTGATTCTCAGAAATCGAATACTAAAACCGAATGAGCACGCCCAGACTCCACGTAGTCTTGTCTGCTCTATCCCTAGAGTGTTTTTGTAAAGCCGTACGCGGAGGGAGGCATGCCCCGCATTTAGTTAACAGAGAGCTGTAAGCATTTTTTTTTAAATTGACTTCGATTTTGATGAGTAAGGCCGTAAGTTTGTTTGTTTTTAATTAGGGCATGCAAAAGTTTTAATACTATATCACAATTAGACTAAGTTTTGCAATACGATAAAATAAAATATAATCAAAATAAAATATAATTCGTGGTGTATGATTGTATTGTTCTGTGGGCAGCGATCCACCCGCTATCGTGCCAGGCGTACAAGAACGCGCAGGCCGTGTCGCGCTCCGCCGACGTGATGCTCGACGTGGACGGCTCGGGCCCGCTGCCCGCCTTCCCCGCCACCTGCCGCTTCTACTGTGAGTACACGCACACGTGCACACGTACACACGCACACACGTACACACGCACACACGTACACACACGTAATAGAAGATTACGACCTCGAGTTATCGAGATTCCACTGTAATTGAAGTAATCCCCACAGCTGACGGGCGCGTGCTGACCGCCATCCACCACTCGGCGACGGAGAGCTCGCAGGTGGACGGCTACCAGGAGCCGGGCAGCTTCCGCCAGGACATCAGCTACGACGCGTCGCGCGCGCAGATCGAGGCGCTGCTCAACCGCTCGCACTCCTGCAGCCAGCGCCTCGAGTACATGTGCCGCCACTCGCGATTGCTTAATTCTCCAAGTGAGTTACGCACTTATAGTTAAGAATCCCAGGAAATTAAAATTTATACAAATAATTGATTTTTACATGTTATATATTGATAATAATTGGCAGACCCATGCCGCAGCTGTAGAATGGTTGCAGCATGAATGGGTCGGTTCAACCGGAGTAGGACCACGCTCTCACAGAATACCAGCGTGAAATAGCAAAATAAATAATGCTGCTGTGTTTTGCATGGTGGATGAGTGTAGATTTTAAAGAAGCAATCCATTTCAGTCCTCAGAAGGGCTAGAGCATGGGCAGGAGACAATTTTATCCACGGAAAAGGTGAAAATGTATCGCTTAGTTTTATCCATCCTTCAAGCATGGGTATACCGGTGGATATAATATCCACAGTAGATAAAATGGAAGATAGACATATGCCCATACTCAAATGCTACTCAATTTTAAGATGCCATTAAATCTCATGCTGTCGCTATCACTTTAATTCAAAGTGACTGTGACACCACGAGACTTAATGACATCTTAAAACTGAATAGCGTTTGAGTATTTGGTCATTAGACTTAGATATTTTTTATGATTATAAATTTAAACTGACGTCCAATGAACTAGGATAAAATTGTCCCTTTCAAATGTCAAAAAGTATAACTTTTTATCTTTCATTTGGCTCCATGCTACATGCTATATGCTCCGTCGTCAAATTTGGCGGGAAATCTCTCGAAGCTTTTCGTTGTAACATGTCCCAGACATACTCAGTAGGATTTAAGTCGGGCGACTGTGCAGGCTAATCCAAAACTTGAATATCGTGGTCATATGTCACGTGGTGAGAGTAACAAAGAGATGGTCCCCAATCCCCGGCGGCCTTATTCCTGGCTACGGTGGCGACCATGGTAACGGCGGGGCAGGGGGTGCTGAGAATCCTCCGGTGGAGATTCGGTTGCCACCTAAGACGACTCGACCTGGCAACATACAACGCACACACCCTGAGGACTGAAAAGAATATCGTGGAGCTGGAAGAAGAGATAGACAAGTTACGCTGGCAAATTATAGGATTATCCGAGGTCCGAAGAGAGGGGGAGGACAAGGTAATCCTTGAATCCGGCAACTTGCTCTATCACCGGGAGGGCGACCATCTGTCCCAAGGTGGTGTCGGATTTATACTCAGAATCACCAAACGGTATTCGCTGAAGGTCATACAGGTTTACGCACCAACCTCGGCACATCCCGATGAGGAGGTGGAGGAAATGTATGAGGATATCTGTAAAGCCATACATTCCTCCAAAACCCACTATACGGTGTTAATTTAATATATATATATATAAATTAAATATATATTAAATTAACACCGACACCGATACCGACCGATATAAATTCAATGCAAAACTAGGCACAAGAGAGAAAGGTGAGCTGAAAGTAAGGAAATTTGGAATAGGGCAACAGAACTCAAGAGGCCAGCAGCTGGCCGACTTCATGGGGAAAGAGGGACTCTATGATGAACTCTTTCTTCCAGAAGCGGCCCCACAGGAAGTGGACCTGGTCGAGTCCCGACGGTTCGACAAAAAATGAAGTTGACTTCATTATGACGACCAGACGACAACTATTCAGTGAAGTCTTCGTGATCGCGAGGGTGAAAACTGGTAGCGATCACCGAATGGTTAGAGGCACACTGAACCTAAACGTTAAATTGGAGAGGTCTCGTCTAATGAAGTAAACGCTCCGTCTCCCTCGTGTTCTGTTCCAAAGTCCCGAAAGATTTCAACGTGAGTTACAATACCATTTTCAGTGCCTAGAAGACTGCAATAAAGAGAACGATATGAATGACAAGCTCGTGGAAGCTGTCCATGCGGTCGGAGCTAAGTTCTGCAAGACCCGCCGCAGAAGAACACAAAAACTCTTCGATCACACTCTTAATCTCATGGCTGTTAGACGGGAGATGAAGCTACAGTCTTCAACAGATTTGACAGCATATAGGCAACTGAATAGACAGATCTCCAAAAGCATGCGGCGGGACTTACGCAACTTCAATACAGCTTATATTGAAGAAGCGATCGAGCGGAACTAAGGCTCCAAAGTCTTTGTCAGAGATCTGTCTGCCAGAACAAAGCTGAAGACCGAGTGTGGCAGCATCGTTTCCGGGACGCTGTATGGGCAGCTGTACACGTCATCGTTGGAGTCACACACAAGTGTGAGTAACGATCCAAGAGCGAGTCTTATCCGACACTATTCTGAAGACATCCCGGACGTCAGTCTGAGCGAGATTAGAATGGCTCTCCAGCACCTTAAAAACGGCAGGGCCCCAGGTGAGGATGGAATTACAGCAAGGAGCTTTGAAATCGGGTGGAAAACCGTTACTTGAAGTCCTTCAGAATCTCTTTAATTTCGTCCTCCATGGGGGCACTACTCCGGAGGCGTGGAGCAGAAGTGCGGTGGTCTTATTCTTCAAGAAAGGCGACAACGCTCTCTTGAAGAACTACAGACCAATTTCCCTTCTGAGCCGCGTCTACATGCTGTTGATGCAAGAGTCATTACGAATCGTCTCGCACGCAGACTTGACGACTTTCAGCCTCCCGAACAAGCCGGTTTCCGAAAAGGCTTTACGAGGGGCACACTGAAATGATTGGGAATAGAATATTTCGGACTGAGTTACAATAAAACCTTTTTTAGAATTTGAATATTGGCCTCTTAGAATCTTAATGTCATTCAAACAATTAAAAAAAGTGTTTAAAAACAAAAACTATGTTGGTTTAAAGTTGACACGTCGTTAACAGAAATGGAACTTACGCGTGAACATTTCCGTGCCATAATTTATCACAATTTTCGTCGCGGCTTATCTCAAGATAAATGTCTCAGCAAACTTATTTCGATTTATGATGTTGAAGCACCGAGTCAAACGACAATATACCGCTGGTATGCCGAGTTCCGACGCGGTCGTGCGTCGCACAGCACTGTTTCTTCTTCAGGTCGACCAAGACCAGTGGTCACGCCTGAAAACATCGCAGCTGTGCGAACTATTATATTAGATGACCGTCATGTGACATAAGAACAGATTCGGGCTGTTATCAGTATCTGAATGACTGCAATTCAGTCGATATTACATAATGAGCTGTGTGTAAGAAAGCTAGTTTCCCGCTGGGTTCCCCACAATTTGCCGAAGAACATAAGGCGGCTCGTGTAGATTGGTGCCGGAATACTCTGCAACGCTTCAACGGAGGGAAGTCAAATACCGTTTATAATATTGTCTCAAGTGACGAATCATGGATTTTTTCATACGAACCTGAAAGAAAACATCAGTCGGCTGTTTGGATCTTCGAAGACGAGGTCAGACCAACGAAAGTGGTTCGCTCCCGCAGCGTGTCAAAGAAAATGGTCGCTATTTTTGTCTCGAAAAAGGAGCATGTAACTACAATTCCTTTACAGGAACGCAGAACGGTTACCGCAGAGTGGTATATCACGGTTTGTTTGCCAGAAATGATAGCCGAACTCCGAAAAAATAACCCGAAACGTCGCATCATCTTACATCACGATAATGCGAGCTCCCATACGGCTCGGAAGATAAATGATTTTTTGAAGCAGGAAAACGTTGAGCTGATGAGCCATCCTCCGTAGAGTCCTGACTTGAGCCCAAACGATTTCTTTACATTCCCTAGAATGAAAGATTTATTACGCGGTCAACGGCTTGAAGGCCCAGAAGCAGCTGTGGAAGCGTACAAATCAGCCATTTTGTCAACATCAACTTCAGACTGGAATAACTGTTTTAATGATTGGTTTGCACCAAAGGAAAAGTGCATTAAGTTGAACGGAGAATACTTCGATAAACAATAAAATACTATTTAGCTATACCGTGCATGTGGTTTTTCTTATTCCAGATAATTTCAGTGTGCCCCTCGTAGTACCATGGACCACATACACATTACACACCCTTCAGCAAATTGTACAGAAGACAGAACAGTATAATCTGCCACTTTGCCTTGCATATGTGTACTATGAGAAAGCCTTTGATTCCGTCGAAATGGGGGCGGTGCTGCAGTCCCTTCAGCGGTGCCAAGTTGACTGTCGGTATATCGAAGTGCTGAACTGTTTGTACAGTAGGGCTATGATTGCTATCCGAGTACAGAATCAGAGTACGAAACCTATCCAACTGCAGAGATGTATAAGACAGGGTGACGTTATATCCCCGAAATTCTTCACCGCTGCATTGGAAGACGTTTTCAAGCTACTGGACTGGAAAGGATGCTGTATTAACATCAATGGCGAGTACATCACTCACCTTCGATTTCCCGACGATATAGTCCTTATGGTAGAATCTCTGGAGGACATAAGCGCTATGCTCAATGATCTCAATAGTGTCTCGAAACGGATAGGTCTTAAGATGAACATGGACAAAACAAAAATCATGTTTAACGTCCATGTCACACCTATGCCGGTAGTTGTTGGGAGCACTAAGCTCGAAGTTGTTGACAAGTATGTTTACCTGGGACAAATAGTCCGACTAGGTCCAACTTCGACCGAGAGGTCAATCGACGGATTCAACTCGGCTGGGCAGCGTTCTGGAAACTACGACTCATCTTCTCGTTAGACATACCTCAAAACCTGTAAACGAATTTGTACAACCAGTGCGTGTTGCTAGTGATGACTTACGGATCTGAGACGTGGTCCTTCACTGCTGGCCGTATGAGGAAGCTCAAGGTCGCTCAGCGAGCTATGGAGAGGACTATGCTCGGGGTTTCTCATAAACTTAGAAATGAGGATATCCGCAGTAGAACCAGAGTAACCGACATAGCCCAACGGATTAGTAAGTTGAAGTGGGCCAGCCATATAGCGAAGAACCGATAACCGATGAGGAAGAAAGGTTCTCGAGTGGCAGCCTCGTACCGGTAGGCGAAGTGTAGGGCGACCCCCCACTAGATGGAGTGACGACCTGGTAAGCCATCAGGAAGTCGATGGATGCAGGTGGCTCAGGACTGTGCTTTGTGGCATTCCTTGGGGGAGGCCTATGTTCAGCAGTGGACTTATGAAGGGCTGTAATGATGTCACGTGGTATCATATCGATACAGCCTTAACATGTTTTAACCCCCGACGAAAACAGAGGGTTGATATGTTTGTAATGTGTATTCTGTGTGTCTGTCTGTGGCATTTATTTATTTATTTTTTATTGCATTCCTTAATCTAAAAGAATACAAAGGGCGGACTTAATGCCTTGAGGCATTCTCTACCAGTCAACCCATGGAGTGGTGAGAATTTGAAGTAGGTGTAGCAAAAACAAAATAGAAATGATAATTAATTACGTTATATATAAATTTTACTAATATATACAATAAATAAACTATAAATATATCACCTATTTATACATGTATACAAATATATACGTACATACATAAGCATACATATATTCATATCAACATACATATACAAAAAGTACATATAAATTATTATAAATATATACGTCTAAAAATATAAATGACATGGATGATTCATGTAAGAAGCTTTGTCTTTAATAGATGATTACGCACCAACTTTTTAAAAGCAAACTTATTGGGAGCTTTTCTGATGTCATCAGGCAAGGAGTTCCAAAGGCGTGTAGCCTGAACTTTAAATGAGTTACCATAGAACTCGGTGAAGTGAACTGGAATACATATTTTGTTGTTAGAAGAAGAACGTAGAACCCTTCATGAGATGAGGAGAGATAGTGAAATTTACTCTTAAGATAAGAATGCGAAAATGGGTCATTTAATATGGAAAAAAACACAAGTAATATTCTGGAAATACGCCTCTGCCGGATTGTAAGCCAATTAAGCTTAGATGTGTATTGCGAAATATGGTCATACTTACGAAGCCCGAAAATAAATTTTATATAGTTATTGAGATGGCGTTCCAGCCCGTTCAGAAGATCCTGGGACAGATCCGGGTAAACACACATCTGCATAATCAATTATGGGTAATATGAGCGATTGGACAAGCGTAATCTTAGACTTTGTGGGGAGAAAATGTTTTAAACGATACAGAGAACGTAACGTCGCAGTGACTTTACGACTGACTTCAGTAACCTGAGTTCTCCAATTCAGCGTGCTGTCAATGTGTAGGCCAAGATTTTTTTCAGACTTACTGAACGGTATTGTAATCCCATTGTAATACATAGGGGGTGTGTCTGCAAGATTAATCTTGGCTAGCATCCTTGAGCTACCCACCAGTATAGCTTGGCATTTCGAAGGATTGACCAACACTCCATAACGAGTAGACCAATCCTTGATAGCTGATAAGTTGTTATTTAATTTTATGGATATCCCCTATTTCGGCTTGCACGTATAGCTGAAGGTCATCTACATACAGATGGTACGAGCAATCGAAGATGGAGGTAATAAAGTTTATGAAAATAGAAAAAAATATAGGAGAAAGAATACCGCCTTGCGGCACACCAGCTTCCACATCAGCCCAAGCTGAAGTTATTTGCCCCACACTGACTGCTGTCGACCGCGAAGATAAGATGCAAACCATTCCAATGCTGTAGGGCCAAAATTCAGATGAGACAGTATGGAAACAAGGATTTCATGATCAACTGTGTTGAAAGCATTTGAGAAATCAACTAGTACCAGTACTGTTACTTTTTTTCTTCCATACCTTTTCTAATATTGTCTGTGACGTTAATTAAAGCAATACTGGTACTATGACCAGGGCGAAACCCAGACTGCTATATACTCAGTAGGTTATGTTTCGAAATAAATGTAGAAATTTGCTTGCAAACACATGGTTCTAAAATTTTGGAAAGAAAGGGTAGAATAGGGTGAAAATAATTGGGAAGAATGGGAGAAGGAACTTTTGGAAAGTGATTTATAAAAGCTCTTTTCCAAAGATTAGGATGGGTACTGACCTGAATTAAGGGAAAAATTTATAAAATGGGAAATTGCCGGAAGAAAGTGCTCTATTATAAATACTACCATTTGTCTACTCATCTCATCATAACCACCGCCTTGGACTGCATTGCTAAATTAGACTTTTTGAAATCATCCTGAGAAAAAGAAGAGAAATTAGTTATATTAGGAATTTGCACAGAAGCAATGGAAGCCACAGTTTGAGAGCGAATTGTAGGGTCCATTGCTGTTACAGAAGCGAAATGTTGGTTGATTTCATCAAGTGATAGAGAAGGACCACAATCCAATGTAGCTGGCCTGCAAAGACCACAAGATCTAAGAAATTTCCACACCTCGGCGGGAGAAGAGTTGTTAGTACAATTATTGAAATATCGACGTTTAGCTGCCCGTACCATTTGATTGCACCTATTCCTGGCTGCTTTAAAAGATAACAAATTTTCTTCATTACATCATAACTTCTAAACGGATGAACCGATTTTAATTAAGTTTTATTTGTTTGATAGTTACGTTAAACGAAAGTGTTTTTAGCTATGTTTCAAGAAACTGTTCAGTCGTTTGAAGATCAGCAGCTCTTTGTTTCGGGGGTTTTGAACTTTTCAAATTTTAGTTATTTAAATTGGTGTTTTTGATTTATCGAATAAGGGTCACAAACGAGCACACAGTCCACAGTAAGTGGATGCTATGCCCCAAGATATTCTCAATTAAGAATCAAGATGCAGATACGCTGTCATCCCTGAAGACTAAGATGGAATGTCTCATTCCCAGTAAAAAAGGTGTCCGGTTCTCTGCACTCACCATTCGAAACACAGGAGCATTAAGCTGTTATTTTACGTTTGTATTCTGTTAGATTGTGGTCTTTCCCCGGTCGAGCCTACTCATTTGTGCAACATTAAAATATAGCTGTAGCATTGCTCTACTACGTTGAGCTCGTGGCTTTACCACGTATAAAATATAATTTAAAATATAATGAGTTTGTCGTTCCGCAGGCGACGAGGCGTCATTTCAGCCGTTCGCGTGGTGGGTGTCACGCACGGGGCAGCGAATGGACTACTGGGCGGGCGCCACGCCGGGTAGCCGCATGTGCGAGTGCGGCGTGCTGGGCTCCTGCCTCGACCCCACCAAGTGGTGCAACTGCGACGCCGAGCACAGCCCGCTGCGCCCCGACGGTAAGTACTGCTGCGGCACTGCTGCACTGCTGCATGTGCCAGTGCGGCGTGCTGGGCTCCTGCCTCGACCCCACCAAGTGGTGCAACTGCGACGCCGAGCACAGCCCGCTGCGCCCCGACGGTAAGTACTGCTGCGGCACTGCTGCACTGCTGCATGTGCCAGTGCGGCGTGCTGGGCTCCTGCCTCGACCCCACCAAGTGGTGCAACTGCGACGCCGAGCACAGCCCGCTGCGCCCCGACGGTAAGTACTGCTGCGGCACTGCTGCACTGCTGCATGTGCCAGTGCGGCGTGCTGGGCTCCTGCCTCGACCCCACCAAGTGGTGCAACTGCGACGCCGAGCACAGCCCGCTGCGCCCCGACGGTAAGTACTGCTGCGGCACTGCTGCACTGCTGCATGTGCCAGTGCGGCGTGCTGGGCTCCTGCCTCGACCCCACCAAGTGGTGCAACTGCGACGCCGAGCACAGCCCGCTGCGCCCCGACGGTAAGTACTGCTGCGGCACTGCTGCACTGCTGCATGTGCCAGTGCGGCGTGCTGGGCTCCTGCCTCGACCCCACCAAGTGGTGCAACTGCGACGCCGAGCACAGCCCGCTGCGCCCCGACGGTAAGTACTGCTGCGGCACTGCTGCACTGCTGCATGTGCCAGTGCGGCGTGCTGGGCTCCTGCCTCGACCCCACCAAGTGGTGCAACTGCGACGCCGAGCACAGCCCGCTGCGCCCCGACGGTAAGTACTGCTGCGGCACTGCTGCACTGCTGCATGTGCCAGTGCGGCGTGCTGGGCTCCTGCCTCGACCCCACCAAGTGGTGCAACTGCGACGCCGAGCACAGCCCGCTGCGCCCCGACGGTAAGTACTGCTGCGGCACTGCTGCACTGCTGCATGTGCCAGTGCGGCGTGCTGGGCTCCTGCCTCGACCCCACCAAGTGGTGCAACTGCGACGCCGAGCACAGCCCGCTGCGCCCCGACGGTAAGTACTGCTGCGGCACTGCTGCACTGCTGCATGTGCCAGTGCGGCGTGCTGGGCTCCTGCCTCGACCCCACCAAGTGGTGCAACTGCGACGCCGAGCACAGCCCGCTGCGCCCCGACGGTAAGTACTGCTGCGGCACTGCTGCACTGCTGCATGTGCCAGTGCGGCGTGCTGGGCTCCTGCCTCGACCCCACCAAGTGGTGCAACTGCGACGCCGAGCACAGCCCGCTGCGCCCCGACGGTAAGTACTGCTGCGGCACTGCTGCACTGCTGCATGTGCCGGTGCGGCGTGCTGGGCTCCTGCCTCGACCCCACCAAGTGGTGCAACTGCGACGCCGAGCACAGCCCGCTGCGCCCCGACGGTAAGTACTGCTGCGGCACTGCTGCACTGCTGCATGTGCCAGTGCGGCGTGCTGGGCTCCTGCCTCGACCCCACCAAGTGGTGCAACTGCGACGCCGAGCACAGCCCGCTGCGCCCCGACGGTAAGTACTGCTGCGGCACTGCTGCACTGCTGCATGTGCCAGTGCGGCGTGCTGGGCTCCTGCCTCGACCCCACCAAGTGGTGCAACTGCGACGCCGAGCACAGCCCGCTGCGCCCCGACGGTAAGTACTGCTGCGGCACTGCTGCACTGCTGCATGTGCCAGTGCGGCGTGCTGGGCTCCTGCCTCGACCCCACCAAGTGGTGCAACTGCGACGCCGAGCACAGCCCGCTGCGCCCCGACGGTAAGTACTGCTGCGGCACTGCTGCACTGCTGCATCTGCCAGTGCGGCGTGCTGGGCTCCTGCCTCGACCCCACCAAGTGGTGCAACTGCGACGCCGAGCACAGCCCGCTGCGCCCCGACGGTAAGTACTGCTGCGGCACTGCTGCACTGCTGCATGTGCCAGTGCGGCGTGCTGGGCTCCTGCCTCGACCCCACCAAGTGGTGCAACTGCGACGCCGAGCACAGCCCGCTGCGCCCCGACGGTAAGTACTGCTGCGGCACTGCTGCACTGCTGCATGTGCCAGTGCGGCGTGCTGGGCTCCTGCCTCGACCCCACCAAGTGGTGCAACTGCGACGCCGAGCACAGCCCGCTGCGCCCCGACGGTAAGTACTGCTGCGGCACTGCTGCACTGCTGCATGTGCCAGTGCGGCGTGCTGGGCTCCTGCCTCGACCCCACCAAGTGGTGCAACTGCGACGCCGAGCACAGCCCGCTGCGCCCCGACGGTAAGTACTGCTGCGGCACTGCTGCAATGCTGCATGTGCCAGTGCGGCGTGCTGGGCTCCTGCCTCGACCCCACCAAGTGGTGCAACTGCGACGCCGAGCACAGCCCGCTGCGCCCCGACGGTAAGTGCTGCTGCGGCACTGCTGCACTGCTGCATGTGCCAGTGCGGCGTGCTGGGCTCCTGCCTCGACCCCACCAAGTGGTGCAACTGCGACGCCGAGCACAGCCCGCTGCGCCCTGACGGTAAGTATTGCTGTTGCACTGCTGCACTGCTGCACTAAGCATAATTATCCGTCGATCGATATTTTCCGTCAAAAAACGGTTAGATACTCGTCACTGAAAGTCTTCTAAATTAAATTGCGATGTAAAAAGGCTGATATTTTGCAATTCTTAACGTGCTTTAATGAATTCAAATGAGAATTTAAAGAACAATGGCAGACTTTCATACATAAAATTAGTTGAGAAGGAATGGTAACGTCTATATATCAAAAATATCTTAAAATGTTAAGCGTCAGTCCCTTAATAACTCTGTCAAAGAATTTTGTCCTGAGAAGGCGTCAAAAAAGATATTTAGATTTTAACCGTTTTAGGTTATGTCTTATGTCACTTGGAAAAAGTCATGCATCCTGTGGTTGTTTGATGTTAGCTTAATACATTCTCAACATAATGTACCTACCTACATAATTGACAGTTTTTAGATTATTGTATCTCTATTGTATATTTGCATACCATAAATTTATATTTCTGGCATGGCTCCAGGGCCTTTGTGTCATACAGTGACATTCTCAGAAGGGCTAGAACCAAGAGCCGTAAAGCCAGTAAAAAAACCCAGTGATATTTTGTTTTAGCTAGTGTTGCCATAACTTAATGCCATAATTAAATGGAATTGTTACATAGTACTATGATTGATATAATGTATTATTGAAGGAAGTTCTTTGTAAGAGACTTATTTTCAACCATATCACTTTTATTTTTATTATTACTGATAGTATAGTTTTTACTAATAATAACTTAATATAAAAATATTTTGTATTTGTGTGTTGTGTTGGTAGTCTTACAAAGTGTATACGAAAATAGTATGAATATAGTAAATGGCTACACTTGAATAGAGTAAAAAAGTCATTTGATGTTTCTAAAAATATTTGTTTTTTTTTTCTGTGGGGTTAATTAAAATACATTTTTATTTGAAAAATCATAGAAAAATAATAAAACGCATTTTATATATAACTTATTTCTAGACGCAATAATTTTTGTCAACTTTTTTTCTGCTATTGTTCTTTGAATATTTGTTTTTTTTTTACGAAAGTCGCATCGTGCATATTACAACGCGACTTGTTCATTTTTTCTTTTTTTTATTCTTAATAATTCATGATCATTTACTTCCGATATGGAGCATATTGACATAGGTTTTCCATTATTTGTGTATAATACTTTAGTATGCAGAGTGATCTGGTTTCGAGAGGATCCAAAGGCTGCTTGTATATCTTCTGCATGTTTGTATACGAAGTTTTCTGAAAAATCGCATGCTATCGCAACTTCGTCCTCCTCAAGGTTCTCTATGCACTTCCGATATTGTTGGTATTGATGTTTTATATTATAAAATTGTTTCTTGAATCTTTCTAATTCTTCAGAGAAATTTGCGATTAGCATGCAAACAGTGCCGTCAAACACTTCTTTATTATATATTTTTGTTGTTTTTGTTTCTGTTTTATTTTTATACTGTTTTTGGTAAGTATTACATATTATTTTCCATTTTAGCCATTAAACTGGAGTGTCTTTATTAATGTTTATATTCATATCCAATTTCTTATCTTTACAAGCATTACACTTAGAGTACCTACATTCGTAACACTCGGTACATGTTATTTCAGCTAATTAATCTATACTTAATATAATAAAGCGGAAGAGCTTTTTGTTTGTTTAAACGCGCTAATCTCTGGAATTACCTGTCCGGTTTGAAAAATTCTTTTTGTATATTATAGCCAGATTCATGTGGTATAGTATAGGCTATCTAGAATTAAGCTATGTCACTCAGCTAGCCTTAAATATGGATATTTGTTAAGCAAGTCAGAAGAAAAAGCACTCCCGAAATGATTTATCCGCGTACGCTGGTGTTATCGTTAGGGATATGTAAATACAATGTTCTAGAAAAATATAGACCTTTACTCCGTCTAAAAAAAGTCCGCGGTACCATATGTCTATTTCTTATACATAAGCCATAATTTGGTATTTTGTGAGCAAAAAATTTTGAAAATTTAAAAGTGATTTATGAGCGTTATTATTAGGCATGGCCTATTTATCCTTACGAACGAAAGTTACTTCATCATCAAGACAATTTTATGAAGATAAACTTTGTCCTTTATACCATGTCATTTGAACGCATAGTTTAAGAGATAATGTAAAATTAAAATAATTCAATACTTGGCTGGGCGCACGAACGACGCTTAAACCCTAGCCGTTATAGAATGCTTGAACTAGGTCATGTCGCGCACCTCGGACACGTGATGACGCGGGTGAAACCGCGGGGCACAGCTAGTCATTTATATCGATGGTTTTTAGCACGCCAAGTTTTTTAAGTTTAAAGGCTTTCAATGCAAATTTGCTATGTCTAGTGCAAGCCCACGTATTTCTATTATTGATCCTTGGAGTCATTACAAAGAACGGCTTGTAGCGAACAAAAGTCACATATGATGCTTTGCCTCTATATCAGTACGATATTTTGCGTGGGGTTTCACATGGTGTCAAGAAAATACCTTTTTGAACTTTTTTTCTTGGTTTTGCATTCCCGCTTACCTGCAGTCACTCTACTAACATCATCTATTAAGAAAAACTCGTGTATTTCCCTGCTATATTTACTTGATAATCTTTTTTTGTTCACTTTTCTGACTCTGCCCTTTAGTCCAAGACTAAGGGATAACTGGGTTTTTAATTAGTACATAAACAAAATTGTATTCTAAATTAAATTACCTTTCATTTCATATATAATTCCTACATAATTATCAAAAAGTATCATTAATTTTATAAAAAGTTTTTGACAGAACTTATGACTTGATTAAGTATTAATAAAATGTAATGTAGGAATTTCTTCAATACTAAAACTCCGGTCAATGCGAAAACAAGGCGCCTGATCAGTTAATTTACTCACCTACCTAGCAATGCTTATCACTACTACACCAGTGTATACATTACTTGAGACTATACAATTTCGTAACGATACATCAGTCTGTTCAACATATGAGGCATTAGTATATTAAAAAAATACTTACCAATAAGAAAAGTCAACTGCTACTAAATTGTTAGAATATTATTTTTGCACAACGTATAAGCTTCGAGTCTTGTTTTCTTTTAAATTCAATATGGCAGCTACAGCTAAAAATTGACCAATCAGAAATGCCCGAGTGTTACCAATGTATTAAAATCAGAATGCGTTCAGAAATTGAATGCAAGGTCGGGCAATGAGAGATAATAATTTTCTGCTCACCAAATGTCGCTAGTTGACACTGTTTTTTAATAAAGGTTTATCAGTTTCTAGAATATTATATTAATACACAAAACAATGCGTCAGTGGTTTGCTCTTTCATTTTTTGCATATTTTCTCATTTTTTTTAAGAATTGGTTTGGGTTATTTATTTTTAATGTTATTAATATAATATATAGCTGATAGTACAAAAAGAAACAATAACTTTTACATTTTCCGAACAAATTAACTTCCCCGCTATAAAATCTGTTAAATATTATACCTCACTATCTAGTGGCGCCGCCGTGGTGGCAGAAAAAGTCATTAGTGTTACTAAGCTTGTATAACGAAATTGTAAAAAAGTCGTGACATGCTATTATTGGAATTTCTTGTTTTTGTTTTATTAGTAAGTTTAAAAAATTTATGATTATACCGAATAGATTAGAATTTACTATAAAAGATGAATGTTAATGTAAAAACTAAAAGTAAAAGAACTTTATGTGGTGAGGCGGGAATTTTGTGGGGAATAGGTTAGGTTAAAAGGCAAAGTGTAAGAAAAAAATGCTAATAAATAATTAGGACGAATTAAAACATTCTAATATCGTTTTGATAATGAATGAAGTGCTAAGCTATTTTTATTGATAAGAAAAAATGGAAGACCACTACCTACACATTTTTAAATAATGTTTAAATGTTAGTGACGTACTTTATTTCGAACATGTACCATTATTTTGAAAAATACTATGCAAAAAGAGTGTACCTATCTCCACATAATGCCTATTATGCCTATTATATATTGGTCGTTATATTTACACGTATACTTTATTTCCAGAGTTCCAAGTTGACGGCGGAGACATCACCGATAAGGAATACCTGCCAGTGAAGCAACTCAGGTTCGGCGACACCGGTAGCCATCTTGACGAGAAGGAGGGCCGGTACACTCTCGGACCGCTGCTGTGTGAAGGAGATGGTGATTTATTTCTTATATTGCTTACGTGGTCTCATCTGTTTTATTAAGTGGTATGGCTCCTTAGGCTAATTTGAGAAATTAAATTAAATAACTACTAGTTATTTAGTTCTTAGGGCTTAAGGAAAAGCAAGGGTGATCTTGACAAGCGTGAACTGAGACATTTCAATACTCAGGTTAACATGTGTGAGTGCATATTTTGCTTGTAAACAAAAACTAAATATTATATAGGAGTAACTTGAGCCCCTTGATGAATCATCGTAAATTTTTAACATTATCAATAGCCTCGCGGAGCATATTTGAATGTTAACAAATTTAACTGTATCCTTCTTTGCTTGAAGTTGATATTTTTTTATAGACTAATGGTGACAAAAGAGCACTCCGTCCACTCGATATTCGATTAAGAACCAAAATGCAGAATGCATTGTCTTCTCTGAAAACTAAGATGGAATGCTTCCTTTTAAGTACAAAGAACATCCGCATCTCTATATTCTTCTATTCGTATTCTGTGAGAGCGTGGTCCATTCCCGTCCGAGCCAAGCCATTCGTGTTACAACAATAATATAGTTGTAGCATGGCTCTCTCACATTCAATAGGGTAGAATGCAAGCTTGTTTATATAAACTTATAGTTTTAGTTGCTTACATTATATTAATGCAACTCGCTTCGATTAAGGCAATTATTTATTGTTAATTAACAGACTTGTTCAGCAACGCGGTGACATTCCGTATTTCGGACTCCGTTATAAACCTCCCAGCATTTGACTTGGGACACAGCGGCGACATCTACTTCGAATTCAAGACTACTCGAGAGAATGCTGTGTTACTGCATGCTAAGGTAAGATCACTTTGATTTTTGAGAGATTCATTGAGCGGGTTAAATTGTAGATTAGGTTAAAATTATCAAAAATTAAAAAAAAACTTCACGGTCACTTGTTATAAAAATAATAATAATTTGTGAGTGAGTTGATGTCATGGTACACTTATTGTGTATGCTTGACACAGTATTTTTTATTATTTTGAGATGTTAATCAAGATGTTGCTGCGTATCATTTGTTTTTTAGTTTCGCTTTCTCGTCTTTTACGATGCACACGGAACGCCATAGGGTAGTGGATATTTATACACTGCCACTAATAGTCAGTCTATCAGTCAATATTTTATCTAAAAATGCGCTCATATTGAATGTTATGAATGAATTATTCCAATGGCTATGACCAGTAGCGAATGATTTTTCTGTTTTTGTGATGTTTCAGGGTCCGCAGGACTACATCAAGTTGTCGATCATCGGTGGCGATCAGATACAGTTCCAGTTCCAGGTGGGCGACACGCCGCTTGGCGTCTCCGTGGAGACCAGCAGCCGCCTCGCCGACGACAACTGGCACTCCGTCTCCATCGAGCGGAACAGGTCTCAAGCACACGCACGCACGCTCTCACACACACACACACACACACACACACACACACACACACACACACACACACACACACATACACACACACGCGCACACGCACACACACGCGCACACGCACACACACACATACACACACATACAATAACGCAAAATTTGATATTAAAATACTATGCGATAAGACAAAGTGTCTTCGGCTAACTCTTCTTACTGAGTGTGTATGTTCAAGTGAGCACTTGCACAAAGCGCTATCGGACTGATGAAAAACTTGACGCGTCATTGATTGACAGCAATCGAATCATGATGAGGATTAATGATTTTGATATCTTGCTGGCCGATGGCATAATCTCTGTATAAAAGTAACTATTAATTCACTGCAGTACACATGCAATTGAATGATAATGTTAATATGGACATGCCCTGGGATTCCCAAGAATATTTTTCTGAATGTCGATGTATTAAATAAAGTTAAACTATTTAAAATATAATGAGTATGCACGACGACATATCAGACTACTCTATTCCAGTATAAGCTGTTCCCGCGTGGTGCTGTTTGCCATATTATTGGTCAATAGTCGGGATCTTATTATAATGGTAATGGGTAGCTAGATATGTCATCGTGCGTACTCAGCACAATTTTTTATTATAATAATTTGTGAAATATGAAGATGATTAAATAATAAAGATAAAGATAAGATACATGTATTCCAGATTTGGAGTAAAATAATCGTAAAGTCGGCCCCGCAATTTTGCGCCGCCTGCGTAATTTAAGCCTACTTCTTGATTTTATTATAAAAACTTGTCTACGGTGAACCAGCTTTTATTTTACACAGATGAAGAGTTAAATTTATAATAAAATAAATAATATAGAATCTGGAACAAGCCATAAACATTTCTTATATTAGATTATATTTAATGGATAAAGTGAAACGTAGTCCTCCTAACCTAACTCGCGATGAGCTACAATAGTGCAAAGCAAAGAGATTACGTTAGTGACCAATACAATATGTGCTTAAACCTAAATCCCAAAATATTCTTGAATAAAAAAAAAGGTTTAGTAAAATAAATAATATATTTTGGGGATTTTGAATGCCTATCCATGTTAAGATAACGGTCTCTAAATCCCGGGAACAGCACTACCTATGCCGATCACTATTTATTAGGTACTGGGTCTTCTTTTATTCCTGGATATCCGTTAGGGGTAGATACCATGTTCTAACCTATTTCTTCCTCCAAATGGCAATGCTTGCATTGCTGTGTTTTGGTCTGAAGCTTATACAAAGCCAGTATAATAACATATGGCAGTGAGGCATTCCGTCTTAGTCCTCAGATACTTTTTTGTCGAAAGATGGTTACAGGTGTTCATGGATTGTTAGCTCCTCACCACCATATACAATATTGTGCTGCATGTGTATTTGCGAACACAGTCGTAATTGCTCGTTGTAATTTGCACGCTTTTGTTGTACCGCTGAATAAGATTGGAAGAAGACTAAGGTGTATTACATATTATATCGGTGTGACATGCACGGGGATGATCGTGAAACCTGCTACCCGGTGTTTGGTAGCCATTGCGATGTTAAACTCCTTTGGTCAACAAGGGTTTAATGAAAGAGGAGATTTACAGCACTTAGGTGCCATCTGAAATGGGGTATTCCCCTGTCGGTGGGAATTAAAAATAAGTTAAAATTAAATATGATAAAATCCGTAAAACTTGTTTATTTCAATGTACCGCGTAAAGTGTCCGCGTAAATATGGGAAATCATTAATATTCATATTTCTAATGAGCCTATGTGTATTGGTACTGGTATGCGTTATTGTGAGTACGTGGGTGTGTGCGCAGGAAGGAGGCACGCGTGGTGGTGGACGGCGCGCTGAAGAACGAGATCCGCACGGCGGCCGAGCCGGTGCGCGCGCTGCAGCTGACCACGGCGCTGGCGCTGGGCGCCGCGCTCGACCGCGCCGACGGCTTCGTGGGCTGCGTGCGCGCGCTGCTGCTCAACGGACGCCCGGTGGATCTGCGCGCGTACGTCCGCCGAGGTACAGTACACAGTGCTGAGCAGAACGAGATCCGCACGGCGGCCGAGCCGGTGCGCGCGCTGCAGCTGACCACGGCGCTGGCGCTGGGCGCCGCGCTCGACCGCGCCGACGGCTTCGTGGGCTGCGTGCGCGCGCTGCTGCTCAACGGACGCCCGGTGGATCTGCGCGCGTACGTCCGCCGAGGTACAGTACACAGTGCTGAGCAGAACGAGATCCGCACGGCGGCCGAGCCGGTGCGCGCGCTGCAGCTGACCACGGCGCTGGCGCTGGGCGCCGCGCTCGACCGCGCCGACGGCTTCGTGGGCTGCGTGCGCGCGCTGCTGCTCAACGGACGCCCGGTGGATCTGCGCGCGTACGTCCGCCGAGGTACAGTACACAGTGCTGAGCAGAACGAGATCCGCACGGCGGCCGAGCCGGTGCGCGCGCTGCAGCTGACCACGGCGCTGGCGCTGGGCGCCGCGCTCGACCGCGCCGACGGCTTCGTGGGCTGCGTGCGCGCGCTGCTGCTCAACGGACGCCCGGTGGATCTGCGCGCGTACGTCCGCCGAGGTACAGTACACAGTGCTGAGCAGAACGAGATCCGCACGGCGGCCGAGCCGGTGCGCGCGCTGCAGCTGACCACGGCGCTGGCGCTGGGCGCCGCGCTCGACCGCGCCGACGGCTTCGTGGGCTGCGTGCGCGCGCTGCTGCTCAACGGACGCCCGGTGGATCTGCGCGCGTACGTCCGCCGAGGTACAGTACACAGTGCTGAGCAGAACGAGATCCGCACGGCGGCCGAGCCGGTGCGCGCTGCAGCTCAACGGATCCCGGTGGATCTGTCGGTGATCCGCATGGTGGATCGCCCGCCGAGGTGCACAGCGCTCCCACCGCAGATATCGGCCTTTTGACCAACATACTAATTCTTTAATTGTATGGTTGCTGTGGATAGCGGGGTTTAAGGCAACATAGTACATTTTATTGTATTGTCGCCATGGATACCGAGATTAAAATAAAGTGAAAATTAAAAGTAATATTTTTTCCTATATATTAACTTTTAATTTATTGTTGTCTTGGATATCTGGGTTTTAGCCAGTACACAAATTATAAATTGATTGTTATTCCCAGAGCCTTTCTATTTATTACTAAATACGACCCTGTTCGGATCGTATTTAATAACGTGGTAATAAAATGGTCTAAATTTCTATCACATTTTTTAAATCAAAATGTATTTGCAAATAAGCATTGAATGAAATGTTTGTATTTGGGCATATGTGCAGGCTTGTACGGGGTGTCGGAGGGGTGCAGCGGGCGCTGTGCGTCGTCGCCGTGCCTCAACAACGGCACGTGCCTTGAGCGCTACGACGGCTACTCCTGCGACTGCCGCTGGACTGCATTCAAAGGGCCCATCTGTGCAGACGGTCAGTACACACTCCTGATGCCATTTTACATGCATTACTTTTTCATTCATTCATTCTTTTTAAAAACGTTACCTCCACACTAGGATTTTCTCCTGTATCGTAGAGGCAGTTTACATACATAAATTTCACAAGGATAAACATCCGGACCCAAAACAATTATTTGTAAGTCATACAAATTCTTGTTCTGTCTGAAATTCAAACTGGGGGCCCTTAACGCTGCAACTCATTGCTAAGTTACTGCACCACGGAGTCGTAAAACTTGCACATGGACGACAGTTATTTGTAGGCTATATCAACACATGATGTGACAGAATTTGAGAATATGAGAGAGTAATTTGTTAATAGATTGATTTTCAACTTTAAGTTTTTTTATTGCTTTAAAAAAATTAAAGGCGCAGTCATATAATTTTTTAGCAACACTTATTCCTATACCATTTTAATAATAATTTATTTAGCTTATAGCATATTTTGGAAAACCTATTAATTTTTTATGTAATACTCATCAGAAATCGGTGTCAACTTGCGCCCCAACTCGATAGTGAAGTACGACTTCCTGGGATCATGGCGCTCCACCATTAACGAGAAGATTCGCGTGGGCTTTACCACAACCAATCCTAAGGGTTTCCTGCTCGGATTCTTTTCTAACATTACCGGAGAGTACCTCACGCTTATGGTGTCTAATTCAGGTGAGCTTAATTCGTATAATATGATAGTGATGTTAAATAAATCACAATAATAAACCGTTTTGAATTTATTATTATATTATACTAGTGTAAAATAGCATTAGTTACAGTTTCATATGGTAAGTGACGGCAACCGGAAACCATTATTAGTACTACCGGGGCATTTCATTTAAGCCCTAATGTAGTTGTGTACGGGTATAGTAATCACTTACCATCCGGTGGACTGTGTGCTTTATTGACTAACTCACTTAAACAAGTAGTAAAATTAAAAAAAAATGTACAACCGACTTCAATGTAAATAAAATGAGAACATCATCAATGTAGTTGAAGTCATTTAAATACGCATTATTAAGTAAAACTCTACAACTACTGGTCAGATCTTGATCAAATTTAAATGGGACCACATCATGACAAGCACCAAATTTCAAATAAAAAAAACTTAAATACGGTTTACCTAGAAAAAAGTTCTGAGGAATCACATAAAAATACAGTCGTGAAAACCTCCTCCTTTTTTGAAGTCGGTTGATAAAAAAATATTATAAAAAGGTCGTAAGTGACGCCGAAGTTTGGTACACCATCTTGTCATAAAGTTCGACATAAGATCTCATGTTCTCTGATAGATTTTTATATAAAGATCTTCTTTGTACTTTTTTTAGGGTTCCGTACCTCAAAAGGGAAAAACGAAACCCTTATAGGATCACTTTGTTGTCCGTCTGTCTGTCTGTCAAGACCCTTTTTCTCAGGAACGCGTGGAGGTATCAAGCTGAAATTCATATCAAATACTCAAGTCTACTGTCGCTTGGAGCTGTGAAAATATTAAATTTCTAAGCCAAGGAAATCAAAAGATACAGCCGTTTATGCCGCAAATTTTCGACATTCGCAAGGGAATCAAAACCTACAGGTTACTTCCCGTGAACTTAGAATTTTATTGGTACGAAGCAACGTATTATAGCACAGATAAAAGAAAAATTGCGTAAATCATAAATTTTAGTTACATCATATAACAAAAATATTTTTAATAATTATTTTAAATTTTAATTTTTTTTAATATTATAGGTATATAACGTACGGATTTGTTCCGAACCTTAGGTGCGCGAGTTCGACTCGCACTTGGCCGGTTTTTTTATTTAGAATAAGGGAGAGAAACGAGCTCACAGTTTACCTGACAGTAAGTGGATGCTGTGGCTATATACATCTCTATAATTAATATTTATTCTCAATTAAGAATCAAGATGCAGATGCGTTGTTACCCCTGAGGACTAAGATGGAATGCCTTGTTTCCAGTGAAAAGGGTCTACTGTTGTCTACATTTACCATACGAGACACAACAGTGTTAAGCTGCTATTTAATTAGAACATAATTACAGTTGTGGTGTTGTATTGGCGGCAGGTCACCTGCGTGTTATATTCGACTTCGGCTTCGAGCGGCAGGAGATCATCTTCCAGGGCAAGCACTTCGGTTTGGGCCAGTACCACGACGTGCGGCTCTCGCGCAAGGACAGCGGTGCCACCATGGTGTTGCAGGTCAGTTGCTAGTACTGTTTTATAAGTAGAGTTTAAAATGCGTTTTTTGTTCTGGACCACTTTAAGTACAAGGTTTTTCTTGCCGAATAGTGTATTAGAATTAGGGATGTATCCGATACCGATATATCTGTGTTATCGTCGGTTTCCCGATAAATCGGAATCAACGCTATTATTACTTTGTCGATACATTGAAACTTATGAATTTCGCGTTATAAATAATCCACCATGTAAATGTGTCATTCCCGCGTCTAGGCCAGAATTATTCTTACGCTGTCGTCGGTTGCGTACGTCAGCGAGAAATAAAATACCATAGTGCTATATCGAGCTCTATACGGTACAGTTGTATGTTAAATGGATTTCGGAAAGGATATCGGTAAGTAAAATACAATGTTATATAATACATACAATATTAATAATCATAATGTTAATAATTATTATTATTAACATTTTTTTTATTATCGTGCTCGTTATTGTAAACCGGCAATAAAGCTTTTAAAACTTGTACCCAGTATTTTGATTTCGCATTACGATGTTTGTACAAATGATTAGATAAATAACACATTCTGTATCGATATTGATTGCAATGGAATTCATTATAACTGTAGGTGCACGCGTGGCTCGTCAGTAAGAGAGTGGGGGCTCGCACTAGCGCACTAGCGCACTAGCGCACTAGCGCACTAGCGCACTAGCGCACTAGCGCACTAGCGCACTAGCGCACTAGCGCACTAGCGCACTAGCGCACTAGCGCACTAGCGCACTAGCGCACTAGCGCACTAGCGCACTAGCGCACTAGCGCACTAGCGCACTAGCGCACTAGCGCACTAGCGCACTAGCGCACTAGCGCACTAGCGCACTAGCGCACTAGCGCACTAGCGCACTAGCGCACTAGCGCACTAGCGCACTAGCGCACTAGCGCACTAGCGCACTAGCGCACTAGCGCACTAGCGCACTAGCGCACTAGCGCACGCGGCTCCGCGATCCCGCCGCTGCCGTCAGCCGCGCAGCGCGGGCCGTACACAACACAATGTACATTAGTACCTACGCGACCAACGTCGCCGTACGACCAATTCAACCCTAACGTCGTTCATATAAGCGTGCTACAATTTATTTAAGCTCGGGTAATCGCAGCGTTTTATAATTTCATTCCGCTAGTTCATTGTTTCTTTCTATATATATATTGTAGCCACATATTAATTGAAGAAATGCCGTGCTCAATATAATAGCTTTGTAATCACAAGCAAAAACTAATTCATAATTATGTTAACTTCGAAACAAAAAAGTTCTTTTTAAATACTATAATTATTTTTATTTAATAAATAATTTTCGCATGCCAGATGTGGTAAACATGTAGACTATGTACAATAGGCAACTATGTGTCACATCTCACAACTATATTAAAAAAATAAATAAATTATTAATTCCTAATCTGAATGACATTTTGTTTACTAACAATTTTCAAAATTTCGTTATATGGTTCACATTCTAAATAAATATTATACAAGAAACGCCATCTGTTTCTAATCTAATCCCATTAATTTACAACTTTTGAAGCCTTCACTGTCCACATCGTTTATATCATATATGATCAACAACCGGCCCACTGTAAGATATGATATGATCCGGCCCCGCGAGACATTTTGAAAAAACCCAATTAAAAAATATTACATTAGGTACTTATACTCACGAGAATGACAGTGAGACGACAAACATCAAATCCGTTGATGTTTGCCGCCTCACATTTTGATAATCGCCGCCACTCTACTTGCTCGATCAAATTCTTTGAGGTTTGCCGCCTCACGAGCGACACATCATAAGATTTATTGCTTCTCAATTATTCTAAACAGATTATTCCTTTATTTTTGCCTATATAAGCGGATAGATGGCCCGAACGTTAGTTCAGTTCTATTTGAGCTACCAAGGTTATCAAACTTGGATAAACGATATCCTAGCGAACTGCTCAAGCCGTCAACTTGCTTTGTGACTATTAAATTTATTAAACGAAAAATAAACAAAAATGATGTCTAGTGGAAAGAAACGAAAAGTAGATACAGAAGGTCGCCAGTTTCAAGAAAAATGGAGTGAAGAATTCTTTTTATCTTGCACAATGATAAGCCTATTTGTTTTCTGTATAATGAATCCATTTCAGTAATGAAAGAATTTAATATAAAGAGGCATTACTCAACTAAGCATGCTACGCTGCACTCACTGACAGGACAATTGAGAACAGAAAAAATCCAGAAGCTTACCGCAAATTTGGAAAAACAGCAACAAATGTTTCATAAACAAAGAACACAACTTGATAATGTTGTAAAAGCTAGTTTTATACTTAGTTCAAAATTGGCAAAGGCATTAAAGCCATTTGCCGAAGGAGAATTTATCAAGAAGTGTATGTTAGGAGTTTGCGGTATTTTGTGTCCTGAAAAGAAAAATGAATTTGAAAAAATTTGTTTGTCAAGACGAACTGTTGTTCGACGTATAGAAATGATGGCTAATGATATAAAAACAACATTGACTGACCGTATGGCTGGTTTCGAATCATTTTCCATAGCATTAGACGAGAGCACCGATTTGTCTGACACAGCTCAACTGGCTATATTTATTCGAGGTGTTGATAAGGAGTTCACTGTTACTGAGGAATTGCTTGCTTTACAGCCGCTAAAAGGAACCACTACAGGAGAGGATATTTTTATTGAAGTTCAAAAGGTATTTACAAGCTTTTGGCTGGCCATGGTCAAAATTAATTGGAGCATGCACTGATGGTGCACCTTCTATGGTCGGCTTACGTAAAGGTTTCATCGGAATTTTGAATGAAAAAGCAACAGAATTAAATGTACAAAAAGATGATTTGATAGTCCTTCATTGCATTAATCCATAATCCAGAACTAAGTCCATTCGACTCCAGAATGTTATGAATGTGGTAGTAAAAACCATCAACTTTATTCCATCCCAAGGGCTTAACCATCGTCAGTTCAAGGCGTTTTTGGATGAAATATCAGCTGAATGTAACGACGTAACATATTATTGTGAAGTCAGATGGCTGAGCAAAAGAAAAATGTTGAAACGGTTTTACGAGCTTAGAAATGAGATAGCAGACTTTATGAAAATAAAAGATAAACCACTATCTGAATTAAGTGACCCAAAATGGATATGTGACTTGGCATTTCTGTTCGATCTTACAGTCTATTTGAATGATTTAAATTTGAAACTTCAAAAACGAGGACAGTAAATGATTTGTACAGCTATTTCAAAGCGTTTCAGATCAAACTACGCTTGTGGGAGTCACAGATGCTGTCTGGTAACAGTTACCATTTCAACACGCTCTCTGCGTATGAAAATATTGCTTATGCTCAATATGCTGAAGAACTCAAGTTACTGTCGGAACAATTTTCGAACAGATTTAGCGACTTCAAAAACATGGAAGACTGTTTCATTTTATTTGCTACTCCTACAAAATATAATGTACAAATGCTCCAATACACTTACAAATAGAGTTGATCGAGATTCAAGAAAACTCACTCCAAAAACAAAATCCAAATTCGAAGAGATTTCTACAAAAAATACCTAGAAGAAGACAATTTTCCGCAGCTTAGAAAATTCGCAAGAAGATTGATTTGTGCGTTTGGCAGTACTTATAAATGCGAACAGTTCTTTTCATTGGTGAAAGTTAATAAATCAACACATCGTACAAGACTGACTGACGATAATTTGGGAAATTCTTAACGTCTTTGTATCAGTGGAATTAATCCAAATATCGATGTATTAGTTTCCCAAATTCAACTCAAGTGTCTCATTGATTTCGGTGTATTTAACTTTCGTAGTTTGTAACAATTGCAAATTTAACGATTTAATTATAATGTACCATTTTATTAAATTTAATTTTTTTATTTAATTAATTGTACTATAATAACATTGTCGTATTATTTCATGTCTAATATCTATCGCAAAAAATATTATCCCTACTTTAAATTGCACTAAGTACTTTTAAACCCGGCCCGCGAACGTATTTGCACGCTAAAGTGTGGCCCTCAACATGTCAAAGGTTGCCCATACCTGGTTTATGTCGTTCATACTTTTCTCTTGTCTCATAGGAAATTAGTCAAATTAGCCATCTGTTGTCACATTATAGATGACACATTACACTGTACAGGTAAGGATTATAATGCTCGAATGTGCAAACACAGTTCACTCTCTAATCCCTCACTCTCATACTCCGATGGGATGGCAAGCCGACACGAGCGGAGAGAGATCAGGCGCAGGACCAACGGCTTTACGTGCTTTCCGAGGCACGGGGGTGAGACACCGCCAACTTTCTGACACACTGCTACTGAACTTTTTTATTTGTAAAACACAGAAAAGCCCAATAAATGATTTTCATCCAACCCGACATTCGAACCCGTACCTCATGATCAGCAGTCGTGTTTACTAACGAGGCAGTCAACTGTCACACTTTTTTTTTGTAAATATCGGTATCGTATCGGCAGAAGTGCGTATCGATGCAACCCCCCTAATTTGAACATTCTTGGAAAACACTAATGACAATTTTAGTAAAGATTCTGTTCCAACCCGGTGTCAGGTGGACAACTACGAAACGCAAGAGTACAAGTTCAACATCAAGGAATCCGCGGACGCGCAGTTCAACAACATCCAGTACATGTACATCGGACGCAACGAGTCCATGAACGAGGGCTTCGTGGGCTGCGTCAGCCGCGTGGAGTTCGACGATATCTACCCGCTCAAGTTGCTCTTTCAGCAGGACCCGCCGCCCAATGTTCGAAGCCTCGGTAAGTATTTTTTTTCTGCTGGATAAGGGTGACAAGTGAGCACAAAGTCCACCTGATGGTAAGTGGACGCTGTGGCTCATAATCTACATCAATCCCCCAATTAGGAATCAAAATGCAGTTATGTCGTCACCCATGAGGACTAAGATAAAATGCCTCGTATCCAATAAAATGGGTCTCCAGTTCTTTACGAAACACAGCATTATATTACGCTGCTTTATTTATAGGATAAGGGTGACTAATGAGCTCACAGTCTACCTGATGATGAGTACATGCTGTGGTCCATAAACATCTACGTCTATCATCAATTCAGAATTTTAACTACAGTCCTTACCATACAAAAATTGAGCTGATATTCTAACGCTGGTATTCTGAGCGAGCATAGTCCTACCCCGGTCGAGCCGAGCCATTCCATAATAGAGTTGCAGCTCTACCACGTGAAATGCCACATCATGTACTTTAAAGGATACATTTTTATGAAGTGTCTGCGTATAGATGTTTTATCTTACAAATATTTTACTCTGATGTTTAGGAAAGGACACTTGTTACCGCCATATCAGATTAATTCTCAAATTGAGATATTCTCGCATATTTGATGTCAATCATATTGACATTAGATGTCTTCTAAGCCCTTCATTCCATTCATTCGTTTCGCAATCGGCCCAGTTTCCATTCCAACTCGCCTGCACGTGGCAGTGTCAAACTGTATCCAGCTCGCTTATAGCAACGTATCGCTTATCTGTTTAAATTATCATAAACTTAAAATCACGGTCATGAACTGTGTTAATTTTGTATAACAACTCTGAGTGCATCGCTGGAATCACACCGAAAATACAAGATTCATTATGGGACATTGTCAGATAGGTGTGTGCTCCAGTTGCCATATGTCGGTTGCCAAATTCAAGATTAAATCTAATCTAATTTCGCTGATACAGTCCATTATAAATAATAACATTCGCCGCACCAACATTAATTGTTTAAATAAAACTAGTTTTATCGGATTTTCAGTAAATTTTTCAGTTAATAAAACTGGTTTGAACCGAGTGTATAGTGTATCTGGAGGTAGCTGTGGTTAACTAGGACATTGGGGCATCGAACACATCAGTTCCCCCCGTGACCATGGGTGCTGTAAAGTATAACGCCTTCGGGAATATAAATAAATTAAAATACGCGGTAAAATGAATTAAAATTAAGTTACACTTAAATGTGTAGTGTTCGCGTAAACATAAGAAATGTAATTTTATATTCAGCAGTAGGCGTACGTTTTTTTTTTTACTGTCGTTTGTCATCTGTCTTCAAACTCCAATCTTAAATTTGTGACTTAAAGAACAATGGCAGACTTTCATACATAAAATTAGTTGAGAAGGAATGGTAGCGTCTATATATCAAAAAAAAAAACTTAAAATGTTAGGCGTCGGTCCTTGAATAACTTTGTCAAAGAATTTCGTCCTGAGAAGTCGTCAAAAAAAAGATATTTAGATTTGAACCTTTTTAGGTTATGTCTTATGTCGATTGGAAAAATTCATGCGTCCTGTGGTTGTTTGACGTTAGATTAACACATTCTCAACATAATGTACCTACCTACATAATTGAGATTGTTTAGATTATTGTATCTCTATTGTATATTTGCATACTATAAATGTATATTTGTGGCATGGCTCCAGGGCCTTTGTGTCATACACAGACATTCTCAGAAGGGCTAGAACCCAGAGCCGTAAAGCCAGTTAATAAAAAGAACAGTGACATTATTTTTTGGAGATTATGGTCTGGTATCTAGACCTTCAGGCCAAGTCTTGAGTATTTTTATTCGGTTTATTATAATTTCCCCACTGTATTTTTGATGAATTTATATAGAGGCACGTAATAGGATCTATTTTTTAACATATCCCTCAGGCAGCGGGAGGGATCTTGCACTGTCACTTGATTTTGCACTATGTCACTAATTTCACTGACAAGAATCAATCTGTCAAATGAAAAGCACTCACATGTAAATATGAAATGTTCGATATCACCAACAGAATTATTGCAGAAGGTGCAGTAGCTGCTACAGTGACATTTTGTTTTAGCTAGTGTTGCTATAACATTAAATGGAATTGTTACATAGTATTATGAATGAGATAATGTATTATTGTAGGAAGTTCTTCTTAACCACTTAACCATCCACCCTCCGCGAGTGATTCTCGTCTGACCTGTCCGCGCATTAAATTTCACTACTTTTTTACGACTGCGCGAGAATGTCTTAACAAAAACGATTACTACTGAAAAATTACTATAGGTACATTCAAATAAAAAATATTCTCAAAAGAGTCTAAGAATCCAAAATGTAATGTTGTTAAAAGAAAATTAGTCAAATTAAAAATAAAGGCTGAAAATAAAGCTTAAATATGGGAATATCAAACGAAAACGTATTTATTTTTTATTTCGAGTTTCACAAGAAAAGTATAATACTCACTGGAGACAATTATTTTTATTTATTTTATTTATTTATTTATTTATTTCTGAAACTTACAACTATCATTACAGGATTACCTAATGCGATAGTGTAGCTGGCTAACTAATTTGTCTTCATGCTTTAATTTTTGTAACAAATTACAAGCAATGCTATCTTTGTGAATTCACTCAGAGTACAACAGAATAGGTCCGTCTCACTAGCTATTAAGTTGAGCGTATGGAGTGCGCGCGTCAGAGGCGCCTTACTCAGAAGGTTGGTTCGAGCGCGCGGCTCCACCAACAGTCGCGGCTGCCGTCGGCGCCACACATACCTCTCAGGAACATATAGGTTTAATTGCCCTAACATTTCAGCGTTATGCAATTTTCCTCTGAGTACTTTAAAAATATACGAGGTGAGCGCAAGTTCCCTTCTAACTCTTAGTTCATTATATCCTACCATACCTAAGATAAACAAAGTTGGATACATTAGAGGATAAAATGGGTATACACCATAATAACGCATATATAAATATCTAATAAATTTATTCTGTACTCGCTCTAGCATGAGACTATACTTAGTTTCATGCGGAGCCCAGACGACTGCATTACATTCAAGTTGACTCCGTACCAATGTATTATACAAGGCGACTATCGCTCTTATGTTTGTGAATCCTCGGACCGTACGAAGCATAAATCCTAGATTTCTATAAGCCTTTTTACAGATGTTTATGATATGATCATGAAAAGTAAGCCCTGTATTAAAAGTTACTCCTAAATCTTTAACTTCTCTGACCCTTGTCATCGGCAGCCCGTCAATGTGATATTTATTTAAAATAGGAGTGTGCGCACGAGAAAAACTAATTAACACACACTTAGAGCTGTTAAATTGCAAAAGATTTTCTTTGCTCCAATTTACAACCCTGTCTATGTCTCTTTGTAGAATAGCACAGTCGTGCCCATTTTTTACCGCAAGAGACAATTTAAGGTCGTCAGCAAACAATAAACACCTAGCGTCTTTCACCACTTCTGGTAGGTCGTTTATCATCATCAAGAACTCTAAAGGGCCAAGGTTACTGCCCTGACTTACCCCAGACCATGTGAAATATGGCTCTGACTGATGTCCCTCATATTCCACATATTGCTGTCTATCGGACATGTAACTTGCAAAAAAATGCAGTAAATGTGGGGTAAAACCAAAAATTTTGTATTATAATATATGATATTCCCTTTAAAATGATACCAATATCAATACTATTTTATATACTCAATATATATAATGTTTATCCGATATAAATTTGAATAAATAAGTAAATAAAAATAAGTCTTAATAATTTATAGATATATCTCAACAGATATTTCGTTTATAAATTGCTATCAACGTGTTAATAGTGAATCATTATTTTATATTTAGCATTCATTTAACACACAAAACTGATTAGAATACATTTTAAACAACATATAATCAATAAACGATGATCGCGTATAGTGATTAAAATTTCGAGCTAAATTTATTATATGTAAACGTTTTGGAATTGTCGTAATGATACATATTTACTAAAGAAAATATCTTCACAATTATTTTGATCTAGAATAACATTAGAAATAACGTATAAAAACAGGAAAGTTATCACATTTTTGATCGAATTACTCACACTAATATTCCACAAATAAAAATGGCGAAATTTAATTTTAACTTCTTTTTTCTAAATATTTTGTTACTTATTATACAGATAAAATTCACTATCACAGATGACAAATTTCATATAGCACCATGTGTAATTTTTACTGTATTAATAACAGCTATCTTTTGCGCTGTATACGTTTAAATCGAAAGATGTCGTTTGGTGACTATAACCACCATGGACAGGTGTCGCAATATATTGTTTTTGGGGACTGTAGTCACCGTGGACGGTAGAGTAGTTAAGAGACTTATTTTCAACCATATCACTTTTATTTTTATTATTACTGATAGTATAGTTATTACTAATAATAACTTCCTATAAAAATATTCTGTTTGTGAGTTGTGTTGGTATGTAGTCTTACAAAGTATATACGAAAATAGTATGAATATAGTAAATGGCAACACTTGAATAGTGTAAAAAGATTAGTCATTTGATATACCCTAAAATATATGTTTTTTACTGTGGCTTTAATTAAAATATATTTTTATTTGAAAAATCATAGAAAAATATTTAAACTCATTTTAGATGTAAGTTATTTCTAGACGCAATCATTTTTGTCAACTATTTTTCTGCCATTGTTCTTTGAGTGAAGACCATTTTGGTGCATATAAAGTTATTTTTCAAATATTTTTGTTAAGATGAATAGTATTTTTTTTCTGTCTTACCTGATTTATTTATTATAATGTATGTGTCAAATAAAGTTTTTCGTTTGTTTGTTTGTTTGTAAATGCGTTGTGTTGTGAGACGGTGTGTTGTGGGTGTGTGCAGGTGGCATCCTGCAGGAGGACTTCTGCGGCGTGGAGCCGGTGACGCACCCGCCCGAGCCGGTGGAGACGCGGCCGCCGCCGCCCGTCGACCCCAGCGCCCTGGACGTGCACCGCGCCGACGAGGCCATCCTCGCCAGTGAGTTCTGCTGCACGCCTGCACACCTGCACACCTGCACACTTGCTAGTCTACACCCTCACACCTGCACACCTGCTCATCTACACCCTCACACTTGCACACCTGCTAGTCTACACCCTCACACCTGCACACCTGCACACCTGCTCATCTACACCCTCACACCTGCACACCTGCACATCTGCTCATCTACACCCTCACACTTGCACACCTGCGCGCCCGCACACTCGCACACACTCACACCCACACACCCCCATACCTACGCTCTCATACATACATCCCCTAACACCTTCGCTATCACAACTGGTCACTCATCGCCAAACCAGCTCATCCTCACCTGCACCGCCTTACACCCACACTCGCGCACCTATAAACCCGCATATCCACATACTTGCACACCCTTACACCCTCACATCACACCCGCATAACCTCGCCACTGCATACCTTCACAATCGCACACCTACACACACACATCCTTATACCTACACACCCTCACACCTACGCATCCGTATATACATATACCTACATACCCTTACACCGTCACAAACGCACACCGTCATAACCGCACATCTGCACACCTACACACCCTCATACCTGAGCAACCGCATATTTATATACCTGAACACCCTTACACCTACACACACGCATATCCTCGGAACCGCACATCTGCAAACGTATCTGCACAGACTCTCATTCGTACATCCTCTCACCTAAGCCTTGTACACGTTTTTTTTTTCATAGAATAAGTGTGACAAACGAACACAGCCCACCTGATGATAAGTGGTTGCTGTGGCTCATAGACATTAAATCTATCTTCGTTTGCGAATAAAAATGCAGATGCGTTGTCAGCCATGAGGATTGAGGACTAAGATAGAATGCCTCTTTTCCAGTAAAAAGTACACTCACCATGCGAAACACAGCAACATTAAACTGCTATTTTACGCTGGTATTCTGTAAGAGCGTGGTCCTTCCCCGGTCGAGCCGACCCATTCGTGCCACAACTATACTATCAATATAGCTGCAGCATGGCTCTACCACGTATAAAACATACCTGTACACACACCCGTATATCCTCATACCGCACACCCTCATACCGCACACCCTCATACCGTACACCCTCATACCACATACCTTCATACCGCATACCCCCATACCGCACACTCATACCGCAACTATCATACAGCACACTCTCATACCGCATACCCGCACACCCTAATACTGCACACCCCCTTATACCGCACACCCTCAAATCGCACACCCTCATCATACCCGCACACCCTCATACCGCACATTTCATACCGTACACCCTCAAACCGCACACCCTCATACCACATACCCTCATATCGCAAACCCTCATACTCGCACACCCTCATACTGCACATCCTCATACCGCACGCCCTAATACTGTACACCCTCATACCACATTCCTTCATACCGCATACCCTCATACCGCACACTCATACCGCAACTATCATACAGCACACTCTCATACCGCATACCCGCACACCCTAATACTGCACACCCCCTTATACCGCACACCCTCAAATCGCACACCCTCATCATACCCGCACACCCTCATACCGCACATTTCATACCGTACACCCTCAAACCGCACACCCTCATACCACATACCCTCATATCGCAAACCCTCATACTCGCACACCCTCATACCGCACATCCTCATACCGCACGCCCTAATACCGTACACCCTCATACCACATACCTTCATACCGCATACCCTCATACCGCACACTCATACCGCAACTATCATACAGCACACTCTCATACCGCATCCAGCACACCCTAATACTGCACACCCCCTTATACCGCACACCCTCAAATCGCACACCCTCATACCACATACCCTCATATCGCAAACCCTCATACTCGCACACCCTCATACCGCACATCCTCATACCGCACGCCATAATACCGTACACCCTCATACCACATATCTTCATACTGCATACGATCATACCGCACACTCATACCGCAGTTCTCATACCGCACACCCTCATACCGCATACCCTCAAACCCGCACTCCCTCATACTGCACACCCTCATACCGCACACCCTCAAATCGCACACCCTCATACCGCATACCCTCATATCGCACACTTCATACCCGCACACCCTCATACCGCACTCCCTCATACCCCGCACGCCCTCGTACCGTACACCCTCATACCACGTACCTTCATACCGCACACTCATACCGCAACTCATACCGCATACCCTCATAACCGCACACCCTCACACTGCACACCCTCATACCGCACACCCTCAAATCGCACACCCTCATCATAATCGCACACCCTCATACCGCACACCCTCAACCGCACATTTCATACCGTACACCCTCAAACCGCACACCTTCATACCGCATTCCCTCATATCTCACACCCTCATACCCGCACAGCCTCACCCTGCACACCCCCATACCGCATACCTTCATACCGCATACCCTCATACCGCACTCCCTCATACCGCACACCCTCATACCCACACACCCTCATACCCGCACACCCTCATACCCGCACACCCTCATACCCGCACACCCTCATACCCGCACACCCTCATAGCCGCACACCCTCATATCCGCACACCCCGCACACCCGTACCCCAATCACTCACAAACATCGGCACATTTTTCCATATGTACATAAAAGTGTTATTAATTATCGTTCATCCGCATTCTTATTGTAGTCTCGATAAGAGAGAAACTTTAGCTATTGTAAAGTAAAGTAAAGTCAATATTTTACCGTAGAATAAACAGTCCAATATTACTATTAATTTAATATATAGTAAACATCTACATGTTCACCCTTACATTGTACACTCACACCAACACTTGTTTATCCTTAGATGCTCACATACATAGCCTCACACCCGCACACCCACACCCATACACCCTCACACTCTCACACCCTCACGCTCACACTCGCACGCCCTGATACCGCACATCACTATTATTGTCTTTAGCTCGAGTCAATTGCAGAGTAACCTACACCTTGTCTTTAAACACCGGGCTTATTCTCCGGCCAAATGAAAAACAACCCAGTTAAAAATCCTAGGCAGGAAATTGCATGTACCATGTGTAACCATTTCAAATGTATTTGCAGCGGTGCTGGCGTTCATCTTCCTACTGCTGATCGTGGTGGCCATAGTGCTGGTGCGTGCGATCTCACGTCACAAGGGAGAATATCTCACTCAGGTACTTGAGTACTATATCTATACAAATAAATAAAATTCAAGTGTCTGTTTGTAATGTCAAAATAACAGCTTTTTACTTAATTTATATGAAAGTACATACGGTACTTATAACAAAAACACAATTTTTAAAATTTTTGTCTGCCTTTCTGTCTGTCTGTTTGTTCCGGCTAAACTCCGAAACAGCTGAACCGATTTTGATGGGACTTTCACTGGCAGATAGCTGATATTATAAGGAGTAACTTAGGCTACTTTTATTTTAGAAAAAGAGTTAGGGTTCCGCGCAAAAAAAAATTGTATTGAAATCCCATGAAATCCAATTATAATAAATTACACGCGGGCGAAGTCGCGATGAACAGCTAGTATCTTATATACTTATGTGCTGAATGTAATATTTTCTACGTTATTAATATAAACCCGGTTCTCATGGCTCACTTTACGGAACAACATTGATTGCTGCAACTTATAGAACATCAATTTTACAAAAAAAAAAAACTTAACAAAATATTAAGAAAATGGCCACCGACTCGGCATAATGCTATAGTAACTTATTTTATATTTTGTATATTAGATATCTGTGTTTTATATATTAAAGTGCAGGTTGAAAGTGAAATACAGCTTGCTTAATATACAAACATAGAAATTTTATGAATTACGATTGAATTTAGATAATGGCTTCTATTAATAAGGACTATTCGAACTTGTCGATAGTCTGCCGGTGGATTGCCAACCCGCCTGCCAAGCGTGACGATTAAGGCTTCTTTCTTACAATAGCGGAGTCCCACGTCCAGCCGTAGACTTTACTGAAATAATAATACAGCTCTGGATTGAAAGGTGCAATATAGACGTGAAAGTATCGTTGTAAAGCCACGCTGAAGCTATAGTATGGCTCGACCATGCTCTCGCAGAGTGTCAACTCAAAATAATAAAAATCTGCGGTTGCCAACCCGCCTGCCAAGCGTGGTAACTATGGCAAAATACCCTTTATGACACAATCTATGAGAGTAGCCTATGTTCAACTGTGGACTATTATTATTGGATGGATGGATGGAAATAAATAAAAAGAAAAAAGATTAAATAAATAAATAAAAACCCAATCAGATGAAAGTAATAGATTTTAGTTTATAGAAATAATACGTAATTAAAATCCCCTACTCAGAATGTGTCGCCTCTATAATGACTTATTGATTAATAATGTTAAAAATATAGACATATTTAATAACAAAATAAATAATTTCACAAAATACGTTTTAGATATACTTCGTAAATAAGGCATACAATGCTTACGATTTAAATGATAATGTAAGTGTGCCAGGGAAGGACAAAAAGTTAGCGAAATTAAACCTTCGAAAAAAAAAAATGTTTTGTCAACGCCTTCAAAATAGGCAGAAATTGCCAACTTTACTTCTTCATCAGTAAATTTATTTTCCTGATGCTTTTTTTTATTTGGGGAAAAAAATAATCCGTAGGGTCCTAATCTAGACTTATATGGAGGGTGTTTCAAAGTTTCGAAGCCGCACTTGTGTAAGGAAACTATCGCAACATGACTTGTGAACGGAGGTGCGTTGTCGTGCAAAAGGAGCACATCTCGAAACCTTTTTCTCTTCTTTTTTCTTTAATCGCATCTTTTAATTTTTCTAGTGTTGTAGCGTAATACTGTCCCGTGATATTGACACCTTTATCCTTTAATCGATTAATTAAATCCCCTTTGAATTCCAAAAAAAAACTGAAGCCATAGTCTTTTCAGCTGATTGTGACATCTTGAACTTCTTAGGCGGTACTGCGCTTTAGTCCACTGCTTGGACTCCTGCTTTTTTTATAGAAGAGGGGGCAAACGAGCATGCGGCTCACCTGATGGTAAGTGACTACCGCCGCCCATGAACAACCGCAACACTAGGAGAATTGCAGATACGTTGCCGGCCTTTTAGAAAGGTGTAAGCTCTTTTCTTGAAGGTTCTTAAGTCATATCGGTCCGGAAAAATCGCTGGTGGTAATCGATCCCACAAGGAAATTGTGCGAGGGAGAAAACTTCTTCTAAATCGCACAGTGCTGGACCGTCATTCATCCAGATGGTATGGATGGCATCGCCAGTTTTGTCGCTATGTGCGATGGTGAAATTGAGCGGCTGGAATTAGTCCGAACAATTCCTCAGAGCACTCCCCGTGATAGATGCGATAAAATACGCAAAGAGATGCAACATCTCTACGCAGTGCCAGTGTATCGAGCCGATCAGAAAGAACTCGGTCGTCGACGATTCGAACCGCTCTGAGCTGGATGCGGTCAAGTGGAAGGAGCTGGCACTGGAGTGCCCCGGCCCAGAGATGAGATCAGTATTCCATGTGAGGCCGAACTTGCGCTTTGTAAAGTTGCAAGCGATGTGCTGGCATGAAATACTGTCTCGCTCTGCTGAGCACGCCAAGCTTTTTAGAGGCCAATTTGGCCTTACACTATTCGATATGTCGACGCCGAGGATTCCAATGCTAGCTGAGGCAGCAAGGGGAGTGCCTTGAAACTGAGGAGATACGACAAAAGGGGTTCTTTTAGCGATAAACGAGCAAACTTGTGTCTTCTGGGGATTGAACTGGACTAGATTTAGTCGTCCCCAATCCGAGACTTTATTCAGCAAAGACTCGACTTCAGACACAAGTTTGTCCAGGTACTCGGCGACGTTTTCCCGAGAAATATTGGCACGGCCGGTATATAAGGCATTACCAGTGCTGTCGTCTGCATAGCAATGAATTTTACCAGTTTGCAACATATCATTGATATTTGCAGGAGAAACAGTGTTGGTGACAGCACGCAGCCTTGTGGAACACCAGCGTTAATAGGCTTGAAATCAGAGCATGCACCGTCTACTACGAGCTTGATGCTCCGATCAGCAAGGAAACTGGTGATCCATTTGCACAATTTCTCGGGAAGCCCATAGGAAGGAAGCTTCGAAAGAAGCGCTTTGTGCCAGACCTGATCGAAGGCCTTCGCTATGTCCAAACTAACGGCCAATGCCTCCCCCTTGGACTCTACTGCCTCCGCCCATCTATGAGTCAGATAGACCGGAAGACCAGCTGATCGACCCCGACGAAAACCGTACTGGCGGTCACTAATCAGCTGGTGATCCTCAATGTACCTCGTGAGCTGGCAGTTAGTTTATAGTGGATTACAATATTTTAGTTTGAGTTGAGTTACACTCAGGTTCACAGCGATAAACCCAAGTTTCATCCCCGGTCACAATTCGGTTCATAACTTCGTCCCTGTTCTCAATACCGAGTTCAAAAACTCGCGCGAATACTCGATCCGCTGGAGTTTTTGAAGTGGTGTGAGCATTCTTGGTACTCATCTTGTACTGACCTTAGACATTCCAAGATGGTCATGTAGAATGTTTAAAACGGTCTTAGATATAACGATTAGTCATTTCTGCGATCTGTTTTTTCTTCAGATGAGCATCTTCAAGAACAAGTTTTTTAACACTTTCGACAATGTCTGAGGAAGTTGCCTCAATCGGTCGGTCTGAGCGTTGATCGTTTTTAATTGAGTTTATGCCGTTCTTGAAAAGGCTATGCCTCTTATAAATTATCGTTTTATCAAGGCAAGAGAATTCGTAAGTAGACGGCATCTCTTCCATAATTATATGTATTGTTTTTTGTTAAGTTAAGGAATTTAATCACGATATGAAATTTTTTTTCCATAATTAGTGTTCACTTCCCGATTGACTTGTTAATCCTGTGATATCTCGAAGGTTAATGAACCGATCTGGCTGAAACTTAGTATTTGTTGTTGTATTTAGTTACCAAGTAGTGACAGTTAAAAAATCCTCCTCTCCCTACCGTTCCATTTTGCGAACTTTTGACCCGCCCTCGTACAATGTTTTTGTAGAGATTTAGTTTTCTTAAAATTTTCACATTTTTCGCTATACGTATATGTTATAAGTATTTTATTGTAAACTCGTTACTGTTACCTAATATCATGTTGTGCATTCATTATATTGTTCATGTTTTGATGTTATTCTGTTTTGTATACTTAAATAAATAAATAAAAATAATTAATAATATCCGATTCGAAGGGCTACTAAAATGTTGACTATTTACTCATGATGTAATGAGTATAATAATGAGAAATAGTTTGCTGTTATTTTATCATACTTTATATATTTAATTTAAGATATACAGATAGACATTATGTTTTAATACTACATTAGGAATAATGTATTTAAGAGCCGTGTAGTGGCGGTCAAGAATATTCACTATCCCATATCTTCCCGTGGGTGTCGTAAAAGGCGACAAAGGGAAACAGGCAGGAGATGGGCAGCAGCATCTTCCTGATAGTAGCCGAAATTACAATAAAAAAACTGCGGTTCCCAACCCGCTCGCCAAGCGTGGCAACTATGGCAAATGGGGGGTATTTGAAGAGAGTAAAAAAGAGACGGCTCCCAGTCCCCGGCTGCCCCGCTATTCCTTGCTACGGTGGCGACCATGGTAACGGCGGGGCAGGGGGTGCTAAGAATCTCCGGTGGACGTTCGGTTGCCACCTTAGACGACTCGACCTGGCAACGTACAACGCACGCACCCTGAGGACTGACGAGAAAATCGTGGAGCTGGAAGAAGAGATACACAAATTACGCTGGCATATTATAGGCTTATCCGAAGTCCGAAGAGAGGGGGAGGACACAGGAGGGCGACCATCTGTCCCAAGGAGGTGTCGGATTTATCGTCCACAAGTCTCTCGTTAACAACGTTGTAAATATCGAGAGTGTGTCGACGAGGGTTGCGTACCTTATACTCAGAATCACCAAACTATTCGCTGAAGGTCATACAGGTTGTTGAAGCGCCTGTCAAATTATATTAGCAGTTCTCATGCCAATATTAGTCCGTAAGCTGTGTAGGTATGTTTAAAAAAATGTTGTACCTGTCGTCGTTGTAAAATTTAGAGATCAAGTAAAGGTCGATTGAGCAAATTACTGCATTTTACTATTAAAAAGAGATCAAATTCCTATTCATGGTCCTAAATCGA